TAAAACAACCCTGAAGGAATATTAGAAAAAGTATCAAGTAGAGAAGGCAGGCAGCTATGAAGTAAAAAGGTTTTACCATAACACTGTGAAACACAAATTAAACAAATATTCTATTTGGCTTTTTTTTTTTTGCACCGTACGAAGGATGTGTTATTTCTATAAAACATAACATGCATTGTCAATCAAGCCGGACATGGCATGTTCCTACCGGAGCCACTACTTTGATGTTGATGTTGCATGAACTGTGCCTGCCAGCTGCTTACCAGGCAACTGCTCACAGAATGCAGCTTCCCAGACTCGCAGAAGTGCAGCTTGACCCGCATAAGGTTCTCGCTATAGCCGACAACCTCAGCGAGAAGGTCTTTTCCAGCAGTAGACTCCACAAAAGCCGCACATGCTTCAGCGCTCCAGGTACGTTCACGGCCACTACCTTTAGGCTCCACGTCAGCCAAACACGCCTGCACCGCCTGGAAGGGCAGGCGTAGGAACTGCGTTTCCAGCGTCTTGACCCAGCTCGCAGACACCCATTCCTCATCTCCGAAGTCTGGGAATGCCACTCTCACAGCATTCCTCTCGGTGCTAAGGCCAACCACTTTTGCACGATACCACCGCTCATCGTCCCTGCTTCTGGCGGCTACCAGCTCACCTTCAGATTTGTATACCAGCCTGTCTTCATTAAAGGAGCTACAGCTGCAGGCCAGTTGCAAGGTCTTCATGAGACTCTCAAATCTCTCTTTGGAAGCTGACGATCCCTTCTCAATGAGCTTCTGGATGGATTTATGGCCATAGGGAAATATGAGATAGAAGTTGCTAGGGCTCACTGCATACGAGACCTGTGCCAATACTGTGCAGCCTTCCTTGGGGAGCTTGAGGGTCGCCATGCATGTGGGAACTTCCTCCTTGACATGCAGGATCATGGAATTCGTTTCACCCAAGACGTGCTTGTAAATGCAGTACTCGCCTTGCCTGCAGTAGCCTTGGGTGCTGAAGAACTTGCATATCCTACTTTCGTCCTTCACAGCAAAGTCTGCAGTGGCCACTCCAGGATCGTCTGTGTCGACCTTGTAACTGTTGAAAGAGTTGTGGTAATCTTCGTCCATGGGACTGAAGTCTTCGATGGCAGATCTGTCAATTCTTTTGATGAGGGACTCCCTCCGACTCGGTGCTCGTGCATGTCCATCTCTGATCAAGCGTTCTGCAATGTCACCTTCAGTTCTACTCTTGAGATTCACTACAAAGATGTAGTCTCCGTAATCATCGCTGCTCTTCTCCTTGCTGGTCACCACGGCTACCAGCGGCGACTCACTATGGGTCAGCTGCGCAAACCGGTTCACGTCGACATCTGTCCAAGCATTCCAAGGTTCGACACCGGCTAGCTGAAACCTCAAAGCCAAGGGGCCCTGCTGTGCCAGCTTGGCATCCATCTTGTAAAGGCACAAAGAGCTGACTGTCTTCCGGTTGCCATAGTCGACGAAGAAAACTCGTGTCTGGAAGTGTGATCCCACCTTCTCCAGATCCTCGACTCTCACCCTGACCGCAGACTGCACTGTGAGGTCTCTGTAGATGTAGTAGCTCCCTTTGCGAACTTCGGAGGCAGCGCAGGGCTCCAGGTCACATCCTGCAATATTTCTTTGAACATCGGTTAAGCGTCCTCTCAGCCCAACAAGCTGGCCGTACCAGAGGTCGGGCGAGCACGTGAACGTAACTTCAACTTCAAAGCAGCTCTCTTCGGGCACAGCCGTGGGCGGAAGACTCGATGGGACACAAGGCGTGTACTCGATCTTCGAGACCGCTTCTGGGTAGGCCTGTATCGAAGCGCCAGCGCCCGTGTGATTGGAAACGCTTTTGCCGTTCATGAGCGGCTTCGTTGTCTTCACGTCGGTCGGCGCCGTCACGTTGAGGTACCGAAGAAACTCCGCAAACCCGTGCTGCACGAGAAGCTCAGCTACGTTCAGGCGATTGGTCGGTTGCGCCTTTGGATCTCTCACGAACAAGTCCACGTCGTACACTCCGGCGTCCGATATCCCATAAAAAATGGCGTCGAAGAGAACTTGGCTGTGCGGAGAGACCCGCTGCAGGTCAAGGCGAGAACTCTGGCTCGTTGGCCGAACCTTGCGAAGGCAGCACGGGGCTGTCATGTTGGGCTTCGAGGAAACTTCTCTGGTGATGGGAAAAACGCAGTCGAGCCCTATCATGTCCGTGTTTCCCCGGTCAACGTACAAAATCTCGGCCGATACCTGGATGCCGCTGAGGTTCTTATGGACGTCGGTGACCTGAGCCCTGAGGAACCGCTGGCTCTTCTCCTCGAAAACCAGGCAGAACATTCCGATGTGAACTTCGTACACGTGAGACACCCCTGGCGCAGGACTCGGGACGCCGTCATCGTCGGGGTCGTCGAAGTTGTAGCGGAGGAACAGTTTCGTGGGTCTCGCGTAATGCGTTACCTGAACCGACACACGGACACGTATCGGAACGTCAGTGGGTTCTGGTATGACATGTCGCCGTGCGACGGGCATTTTGGAGTCGGCTGCAGTCACCCAAACCTCGGGGTGGATACCGAGGTCAGTTGCCCATCCCGCCTGGAACGCGAGGGAGCTGCTTCAGTGCGAGGGACAGGATGGAAAGTGCATCGCAAGTCAAGTCGCGGAATCAGTCGTCGCAACCACCAACAAGGCAAACACTCGTTCACACGGACAAGAACACAGACGCGTGAAATTAATCGCGTGACACGAACTGTTCCAGTGTGCAACGTCTTCTTCTATAAAAAAAAGGGAAGAACAAAGACTTCCTCGTTGCGTTGATAAAACGATAACACGATAAAAGACGAAGACGAATGAATGGATAATAATCAGGTTATTATGCTAATGGCTGTATAATCGGCTCTAAACGCTCTAAACTGTACCCTTTGTAACGGGCGGTAGCTTGCGCCACCTAGCTCATAAGTCAAAACTATTTCTTTTTTTTTTTTTTTTTTGTTTCTCACCCGCCACGATTCGAATATGAACGCGAGAAAACCATGATTGCACTTTAAAGAGATACTTCAACGAAATTTGAAAGATACCAGTCATGTTCAAAAATAGGTTGAACATGACCCACAATATCCGTAAATGATAATCGCACGTTGGTATTTTGAGCCTGGTTGCTCTATTTTTCGGTATAAACGGCCCAACCTGGCAAGCGCTCGGAGAGCAGCCAGTTAACGTTGGCAGCCAGTGGAGACCACCTGACATCCGACGGAACCGTGACGTAGTTCGTCTCAGGACGAACAAAGCTGCGGCGAGGCTGGCGTCGAGATAGTCCTTCCAGCCACCGAAGCGGCTGCTTTTGTACGAATTTTGAGTGACGGTTTACAATCTTCTGTAATCTTGTAGAGGGACAATAGCGACTTCTGGGCTACCTCGTTGCTTCTGGGACATACAAAAGAGATTCTCGGGGAGAGGGGAGTTCCTCTTTCCCCTTTCCTCTTCTCTCGTGGTGGCCAGAGGCGAGACCACTGATCTCTATTGTAGATCAGTGGGCGAGACAGTTACAGTCACTACCACTGATCTCTACTATAGGGGGCTGGATGGCGCTTAGCTGCTCTCCGAGCCAGGCGCAAGTGAAGCCACCGGAAGTTTGATGCTTGTCCCGGAAGTCGGGCGTGCGCTGGGCTTCCTAGTGCATTCAGTCGATATTTTGGACCATGCTTTTTTGTGTCTTTGATTGGGTTTTAATACTCCCGTTCTGGATTGAATCCCGAGAATGAGGCATTTGAACTTGGGACATATTCACAACTTGATTAACTAGAATCTCAAAATGTTTACATTGAATGGCTTTCCACGATACTTCTCGGGTCCGCATGCGCTCTTGCTGCGCAACAAGCAGGCTCTCTTGAGGGAACAAGCGAAAATCCAGCGCCCTGGACATTTTCGAACCAGCCCTTGGAAGGGTTACAAAGCCTGCCAAGCGCTCACTTCCGGGACAAGCCGCTCACTTCCGGTGGCTTCATACCTGTTTGCTCAATGCGCCATCCAGCCCCCTTTAGTGAAGATCAGTGGTCACTACCTTTCAAGGTTCCTAGACGGGCATTACAAACAAGGCGTTAGCGACATCCACCAGGTGCTCTTTGCTAATCGTTTAATTTGTTTTAAAATTCCTTTTTGTGCTTCTTTTAACAAGATATTGGTGTGTCCGATGTGAAACTGCTCCTCTGAATACATATAGACCAAAAAATAAGTGCTGAAATTTAGTTATAGTATCCCTTTAAGACAAGAAAAAAAGAAAGAAGACACCACGGAGTGCTAAAACTCTGTGGTGTCTGTTTATCAACATGGAAAGGTGTTGGGATTGATTTCAGGAACCATACATTCTGCAGATCACGGAGCTTGTGCCCTATGTACTCCGAGCAGTGGAGCATTGATACACTAAGCCACCTATCCCCTCCGACACTGTCTGCATTGCCCAGTAGGTACCGAAATTTGGAGATAATCGTGAAAATACAGGGAATAAGCGCATGTGAGGGCATCATTTATACATATATATGTACTGTGCATATTTTTTCAGGTGTTTCAAATATTGGGGGTGGGCGGAAGCACAGTATGGTAGATGCCAAGGTTCGAGAAAAATAAATATTGTGGGCCATGTTTGTGCTGCACAATATGTGTGCGAGATAGATCCTGTGCCGTTGACAAACATCTTATTATACCCCGTCCGTCATGAAGGACCTTCATTAATGGTGTTCCTCTACAAACACCAGTAATTCAGACCAATTCAAGAGACTTAATAAAACAATATACACTTCTCTAACATATTTGTCGACACACAGAAATAGCAACAGTAAGAATTAACATAAAAAGTGCTCCAGCAGAGAGTGCAATTTTACCTCTGAGTGTGCTCAGTTGCTATGCATGCACATAGAGGTAATTTAGTCATTCACATCATGCAGCATAAAAGAAAACTCATGATGCAACTGCTAATGAAACTACCCTATGTTCAAGTAGTAACAAGATGACAACTGTCGAGTTGATGCAGCTTTATTCAACATTTTTATATTTGTTTCTCAGGTTCACTGAGCATATGTAAATAAAGAAGATGAGCAAACCCCTGGCCGAATACTGATCCGCTTCAATAACATCGAGGTAATTCATAAAACTCGATTTCCATGTCTTCCAAGGCTGTATGGGGGTGCCTGGCGTTAGCAAAAATGGCGGGGGAGCTGGGAAGGAAACAGCCGCCATGTTGGGACAGGCTCGAACGTTGAGCACGAAGTAAACTTGGCGATAAATGAATTAGCGTACTTGCCAGTGTCGGCCACCACCCATCCACGGCGCGGAGTTCGTTAACAAAATCCCATCCTCGTCGCCAAAATGTAGTATTTCTGATCAAGCGGCGGCCAGGGGCCCGTCGTTGAAGCTCAAAGAAGGAATGACAACCGCCGGCTGCTGGTCATGGTCTCTGAGTCTCGAGCACCCCGAGCGCGGGTGCCCGGCCCTGTTTATTTTACGCGCGGCATCGGCTTCTTTTTCAGTGTCGGCATTATGGACTATATACAAATACTACAAATATCAAATAGCACTAAGATATATCACGACATCATTCTAGCACGTGTAATAAACAGTACTTAAACAAGCCCTTGAGGAATGTAACACCAAAAACCACGAAAAATGCCAATGACTCTTATGGTTATAGTAATAATCAAGCGCCCAAACAATTTACATTTGACTAGATTTTGTTAAAATTAATGTAAACAGTGTATTCTGGTCTACAAACATGACAACTAATTGTTACTTCACCCAGGGGCAGATTTAGAGAAGGGGGGGGTCCGGATGTCCTGACCCCCCTCTTGATTTCTTCTTGTGTAAATATTAGGGCATAAAACGAAGGAGAGGGCGAGGGGGTTCCTACAGATGTGGTATGTTGACCAACACCTGACCCCCTCCCCCCCCCCCTTCCCCCCCCCCTCAGGAAATTCCTGCATCCGCCCGACTTCACCAATGCTGCCTTCTTTTCAGGAAATAAATATAAAATCCACATATTGCATCAGCACTGCTTGAGGAGAAACAAGATGGTTAATGTTTCCTCAAATATCACACTTGTGATTTGCACACAAAGCACAAAGGTAGTCAAAACTGGTCAGACAAACTTCAGGAAGAGTCATCAGTAGCAGCCGACATTTCGTTAATAAAAGACAGTGTTTGCGGCTTCACTTTAGGCTTTGAAGAAACTAGATCTTTAAGCAAAATATTGCCTGCCACTCTCAAACTCCCAGAAGGTTCTTTGTATCCTTTACAAGCACATGCGATTTGACGCACTGGATTCTGGTACTGTCCACCATGAGCCGAGAGTTGTAACAGAGGGCAAAGCATACACTTCAAGATGAAATCATAAGGCCATTGAGGCAAGTTGATACAGATACAATATACTATAAGGAAAATATTGCGATGTTATCATATTCCAAGCAAGTGTCCTTATCCGAGTATGGCTGCTAGGAAATAATATACCCGCAGCAACAGAATGTAGATGAGACATGCCTCAAGCATTATACAGTTGAACCTTGATTTAAGAAAACCCAATTTTACGAATTTCCTGATGTAATGAACAAATTCGGATTCCCCCGTGCAGCCTATGCACGATGTCTCCCTTCCTTGACTTTACAAAGTTCCCAATTTAACGAAATAATTAGCAGGTCTCGGTGACTTCGTTAAACTGAGGTTCAACTGTAGTAGGCAAGACCAACTTTTCATCGAAATTATAATGTATATTCTCTATCGAGCAAACAATACATAATTAGTGACGGCATAATAAAGCTCAAAGGCTCGAAAGGAATATAGCGGTACATGCTTTAGAGATACATGGAACCGAGCTCTCGCAGAAAAGTGTGCTTGCACTTTTTATACGTGGCTTGCATTGATGTTACATCAGCTGCCATTGTTCCGTACCGTGCTCCTGTGCCCGCACCTTCTGCAGCATGCATTTGGCACCCTCCATTCTGTTCTTCTCGGCAAGGTTTGACGAGAAAAAATTCGATGGTACGAAATGTAAGCTGCGGAAGGTATGGACACAGGAGCATAATACAGAAGAGCAAAGGCGGCTCTGGTACGGTCCCAATGACGTCACATGCAAGGCACATATAGCCTATGCCATGAATGGCATAGCCAGGATTATTATTATTATTTTTTATTTTGGGACGGGGCGGGGCTAAAGGTGCTAGGACGTATATGACTTAGGGTATGCGTGTGTGTGGGGGAGGGTGTCTGAAGCCCTATAAGCTCTCACCCTGGCTATGCCACCGTATGCCATAGACACTCACTATGCTAAATAGCTACACATAAAGAGTTGGTATTCGCAAAAAGGCAGTTAGACATGAAGCATCTTAGCATGGCCCACAACAGACCAACTGCACAAATTTCAGTGGTGAAGTGCCTTTGATAAGAAGGCGGTGATTTTCCCTCTCTGCGGCGGGTGAGGGTACCATATCCTCGTAGCAATCTCCCTATCGATGAGGTCTTTGGTGACGCTCATCCTCTCTTGGCTGTTCTCTCCAGTCATTACAAACATGTCTACCTGATACACGCCCGCCTCAGAAGTTCCATAAAACACTGCCTCCAGCTCCGCACCTGGCGTGACGCACCAGTTCACCATGTCTCGAAGACGCGTGCTGCTGGACGACGTCAGGCAGCGAAGGGAACAGGGAACAGCCAGGCACGGAATCTTGGCGTCAATTTCAGGCAGGGGAAACAGCTTGGTCATGCCCAGCACTAGGGTAAGACTGCAGTCCACACAGGAGACCTCGGCGGATATGGGCATGCCGAAGCCGTCCTTCTGGATGTCTAGCACGAAGGCCCTGGCGAGGTCGAAGTTCCTGCCGGTGTCCGCTACGCAGTAGGCTCCCACGTTCAGCGTGTAGAGGTGCTTCGTCTGTCCGCGGACAAAGTCTCGGATGTACGGATCGCGATGTTTGTTGTCCTTCAGCCTGAGCCAGAACTTCGTAGGGCTGATGAAGTTGCTGACCCAGACGGGCAGAGGGACCTTCATCGGAATGCCTGTGAGCTCGGGGATGAGTGGACCTTGCACTGCTTGGAACTCGAATATCAGCTGCGCTGAAGCCAAAGCTTTCAGCGGCTGAACCCACAAACAGCCAAGGGTAGCTGAACGGCTGAACCGTCAAGCTACAGTGGGCTAGCTGAGCTGGTGCCTCAATGTCCTTCTTTGTAGACCTTTGTACAGTCGGGGACAAAAGTCTCCAGGACACGCGAGCTGCGGCTGAAACGCATTGCTCTGCCATCTGCCGGCGGGTCGCCTGGTTTCGAGATCACAGAAAAGCGCATGCGCGTCCTACTGTGCCTGCCAACATGTGTGTTTTCCCGCTCTTCTGCGGCACAGCGCCTAACTCGGAATCGGGCGCGTGGTACCGCCTCGGAGATAGCGCTGGCGGCTTACGAGCGTCTGCTACACATTCCGAAACTCGAGATACCGCCTGGGGCATTGCGCCGCATTTCGCCGTGTCAGCGCACCTTGCTTTATAACCAGTTGATTTTATCGCTCAGTTGAGCTGCCGTGACTTCTTGCTTTATAGGTGCCATGTCAGTAAGCGCTATCTCCAAGGCGGTACCCCGCGCCCGATTCCGAGTTAGGCGCTGCGCCGCAGAAGAGCGGGAAAGCGCACATGTTGGCAGGCACAGTAGGACGCGCATGCGCTTTTCTGTGATCTCGAAACCAGGCGACCCGCCGGCAGATGGCAGAACAATGCGTTTCAGTCGCAGCTCGCGTGTCCTGGAGACTTTTGTCCCTGACTGTACCTTTGTACCTTTCTACCCTTTGTAGCACCCGATCCGGACAGCACGCGCTCACGGGGAAAATACAAAGAAATCGACGAAAACAAAATGTCGCCATAGCACAGACAGCGCCGCAGACGCGTGCAGGGACAAGCTCTTTCACGCGCTTCTGAACAAAAAATAAAAATAAACCCGTGGGACAAAATGGCCAGATGTCTCCACCCTAAGCAAAGCGCACGTGAAGGTACCCTAGCTGAGCTGAGCCAGCTAAGCTGAATTTAGTGAACTGAGCAAGCTAACAAACCACACCTACCGCGTGGAACAATATCCCAACGTTGCGTGAACAGGCGTAAAGTCTTGACGTCTTGACTCTTGAGCGGCCTTGCCAGCCTTGCCGGCCTTGCTGGCCTTGCCTTGAGTGCCTTGAACAGCCAGTCAACCAAGCCAGCCGCCAACCACCAAACTTTTTTTTTTTTTCAGCTGAATTAAGAGAATGTACGGACGCAGTTTTAGCCAACGTTTGTTTCAGAGAGAGAGAGAAGTGTTGAAAATAAAGGAAGCCTGTAACTTATTAATTACAGTTTGTTTAAGCATTTCAAGCGTTCCAGTTTCGGCGGTTTTCGTGGACCTTTTCGTTTCCGTCTCACGCCGCTAGGGACCCTTGCAATCGGATTTCCAAATGTTGTGGTAGTGAACGCGGTGAACGTTGGTGGTGGCTGCTTCGCTCTTCGGTTTTTCATGCCACCGTATTTCCGCGATGGCTTCATCCACGGGAACTCGTAGGGAAGATAAAAAACAGGTATAGTAGGTAGCATGCTGCTTATCACGGCGATGGCAGTGTTAGACATTTAGGAAATGCGGGCAGTAATCGTCCGGTCGGTCTGTGGAATTTTTGCCGAGTTTGCGTTCAGTTTCTACCGCAAAACGCGAGGTGTGGATAAGATCTAGTTCAATTTGCGAATTGTTAATTGTGCTTCTGGGGTGCCATGAAATCAAACTGTTTTTCATGTGTCAATTTCTAACATCTGAAATTTATCTGGAAGCTGTAGATGGTGAACCACTCCGCTGCAAGCACCTTTGACGTAGATATGACATTGGAAGTTTCTATTATTTTTTCATTCTCAGGAGACCACAACGCTGCCGTTGCATGACAGGATGATGCAAGTAGTTGATAAACATGGCGAACTGATACAAGTTCAGGCATTGGTAAGCTTTCCTCTTTCTAAAGATCCAGCATTAACTTTGCGTACCAGAGCATGAATTTCAACCTCGAGATTTAGGCGAGAAGACATGATATGTGATATGGACACAGCCTCAAAAGCAGCCGTGATGTACTACAGAAAGACAACTGAAACGTGAGACCAAGGAAGCAGAGAGAAGACAAACAGACAGGCACAGATGTGCATTGCTTATCAAACATATCACCGCCACTCGGTTATTCAAATATTGACCTATAGCCGGCTACTCAAAGCTAAGTTGATTACCGCAGCAGCTGGAATGTCTTCCTCAGGTTGGGTTTCAATTGAGGAGCAGAAAGTTTATTACATAGTTCGACTGAAAAGAGGACAACATGTGCCAAAGACAGACTATCTCGTGGCAACATGGAGTTTGGGCAGCACTGTACACTGCGCGGAACGGTTAGCATGACTGCGACGTTGGCACATAGCATGCATGGCGTCACCGGACAAAAAGAAATCCTTGGTGGTAGATATCGCTGTTGTCATACCGGAACAGTACCACCAATTTTCGCTAGTCTGCCCTACGGGCCTAGGTTACCTGCATACTGTTGCCCATATTTATTATGATTGTACACTCACTGCTTTTCTCTTTTCTTTTGTTACAGAGCAGAGGATTCGTAGAGCTTGTGTACTGGCTGAAATACCGACCAGCGAGATGCATCTTCAGCTTCGAGGACCAAATGCAGATATGTGCCAATCAGCTCGACAATCTCGCAGAGCAGTACAGGGCTCCCATCGACGAGTGGCTGGCTCGCATGACCCATATTGAGCAGGATCTGACGAAGGCCCTTAGGATTCCACATAACAGGTACGCTTTAAATTCCTTGAAGTGGTCCCGGTTGCCCTTTATGATGCTTGGTGTCTGAAATGCAAATCTGTATCCGTAATTCACTCATATATGCCTCCACAAAAATGAAACTTGGTCCAAGCTCGCAAGGCCATTAAGTTTTAAAAGACTTATCTTGGTATTTAAATTGTTTGTTCAGTGCTTTTAAAAAAGGCAGACATTTTCTTCTTTTTTGTGCTCTTTTCTCACTTTATATCTGCCTGCTATATGCAACTCGCTGCAACCGACCAAGTAGACTCATTATTCTTAATAAAACTTTGGTTGGGGCTAGTTGGTTCATATCGATTAAAAGGTTAAAAGGGCGCAAACAAACGGGACGAAAAAAGGCACACGTACGTAGAAGGGTGTGTACTTGGGCTAGTTGGTTATTCATGAATAGGAGGTAAAAGCGCTAAAAAACGACGGACAAGTTGAAGAATGACGAACACCACATAGCGCTCTGTGGTGTTCGTCATTCTTCAACTTGTCCGTCGTTTTTTAGCGCTTTTACCTCCTATTCAGGCACACGTACGACACCTGTCGCCTGTCCTTGCCATACGCTTGTCTTTTTTCGTCCTGTTTGTTTGCGCCTTTTAAGCTTTTAATCATTGCTTTTAGTGCATGTATTGCGGGCATGCTTATTTCCTGAGGTTTGCCTGCCCGTGTATGTTGCGAGAGTGACTATCCAACTTCTTTTTGCCCTCTAATAACAATGTCAAAGAAATACAGCAAGTATTGCTTTATCGCACATATCAGGGGAGTGTCCTCTTTTTTCCGTAAGGATGAGAAATTTACACAAGCTGGGTATTGAACAAATTAAAGTCAGCATTGATTAGTGGAACAACAAATTTCGTTTTCTTCTAAATTACTTCGAGGTAAACAGATTTTAGTCTCATTACCCAGACACATGGGTCCACTTCAGTGGCTCACAGGTTATGTCATTATCACAAGTTGAAAGTTGGTTGCAGCCCTGTGGAAATGGAATATGTAGAATTTAGCAGTCTGCTGGAGCATACTCTGGCATTCTGCTGGTGTGGTGCAAGGTCCTAACAACAGGTTTATTGTCATATCGTTCATGATTGTGGAGTGGGAGCCTTTTTCTTTGCCTATTCTCACACGCAAGTGCTTACGTGTGGCAGAGTGAAGAAACCTGAAATTAAATCATAAATATTATTATTATATTCAACCTCAAAGGGTCGTGTGCAGCGTGGACATAAGCATGGGACTATCAAGTGACTTCCTTTCCAGGGGCTTGTGCAAACACGGCATATTGCAGAGCTATTTTCTTGTGCTCTTTTTCTTTGAGTGCTCCACTCAAGAAGGGTGAATTATGTGTTTTGTGTGACGTGCAGGCACGTAGCCGGGGGGGGCATGACGCCCGGGCTCCCCCCCCCCCCCCCCCCCCCTGAAATCTTCTATTTTGCTGGGTCCTCTTCCTTCCCCTTCCCCTCATACAGCATTTTGTCATGGGTGCCCGCCCGCCCCCCCCCCCCTCTTCCCGAAACAAAATCCTGGCTACGTGCCTGGTGGCAGGAGGGGAGAAAAGATTCCAAACCTTTCATGGTAACAGGCCTGGCTGTTACCATGAAAGGTTTGGGCCTGGCTTGAGAATTTTCATTAAAGAACAAGCATAGTATCTGGGTTTTAGCTCTACTGAGGCAGTAAAGCATATTCTGTTGATGTTACGAAGACCTTTTCCTCTCATTGTAAAGCTCAATTAATCCAATAAATACACCACAAAGGTATTTATTTTACATACCTAATTTTACATATGATATGGTATGTAAAATTAGGGCTCAATTCCTTTTCTCCCGAATTCAAAGAATGCGGCAACTGGACATGGTATGTTGATGAACTAGCGGCTCCATTTCCTTGCATAAGTGCCAAAGTGGGCTTCTGTTGATGCAAAAAAGTACTACAGTTCCAAAAATTCAAGAAAAGTGCCTTTACCATGTTCTCTGTACAAGAGGTGCTTTCATTGATTTGGTTCTTGGAAATAAATCGAGGAGCAGCCTTTGAAAAAAGGTCATAATCTCATTCACCTGAAGAGATAAAAATCGGTTCAGATAAAATCCAAAATTGTGTCCCGAGTTCTTCAAAAACAAAAATCTGAAACCATGCAGCTCCAACTTATTGTTGTTTCGGGTACTGCAAAACCCTGAAGTGGGTTTAACTCTGAGGAATTCCTTGTTCAGGTTCTGGTCGCATGCAATGTATGATGATGGATTCCACCAGCTGCTGGAGTCTTACCTCCGCCTGGCCCCGAGGTAAGCACACTTTCGTTGCAGTCTTTGAAGGACAGGGGTTCTCTTCGACGAGCAACAAGCACTGGTTAGACTACCGTAAAATTACGAGAGATGCCTCACACCCGCAAGATAGCCCGCCCCCAATTTTTGGCTCGATTTGGTATTTTTTTTTAAACACCGAAAGGTAGCCCACCTTTAGTAATAGTGGTGTTGGGATCAATGATGGCCCCGGCGTAGATGCGGCTAGTTCGCTATGGCGCGATAGTAGCGAACGTTGCTGACTGGGAAGAGCAGTCATCTTTGCTTCGTTGCCCCTCACCACCATAACAAGCTTGGAAGGGGCACAACCTAAAAATAGCAATTTTTAAAACTTTTCTCGATTGTACTCCGAAAGTTAGCCTACTTCATATTTTCAGCCGGTTCGCTCCTGATGTTAGCTGGGCTATCTTTCAGGATTTTACGGTACTTTTGTAGTTGTGACCTCTGTTGATTTTAGCAAAGCTTGCTACCATGTCTGCAAGGACAGGGCTTGCAAGCTACTGTTATGAGGGATCCTGTTCATTTAGTAAATTGTTCGGAAAAGGAATGCCTGATTCCGTCTTCAGGTTGGAATAAATTTGGCCCATAGCTTTGTTGTGCCATTGAGTGGTCATTGTTACGGATACATTTATTCAATTCACATGAGCTAAAGCTAGAAGGATGTAAAGAGTACAAAGACAGAGAGAGTCCCATAGACCGTTTTTGCCAAGCATTTGGTGCATGCATGACGCCGCCATAACTAGCCCACAGGTGGCAGTGCGTGAGACGACTTGCACATGCAGAGCAGTGGCGAGATTGGTGCATGTGACGATCTAAAGTTCCCTCAACGCATCGTGGCAGCGGTGCCGCATCTGGACTGGCTGGCGAGATCGGTCTGTCGGATTAGCTGTATTTTCTTCCAAAATATGATGTGTGACATTGACTCTAGTCATTTTCCCTCTAGATAGGAACTCATTTATCCCTTATCCAACGACCTTCTCCAGTCCAAAGTAGCTTGTCGGGGTCCTGTGCCCATTCTAACCTCTCTGCAACTGTCCCCTCCCTTTCCCTTTCACAAACTGGAGGCATTTGTGCCGTACATCACTCCGTAGTTACCGACAACTGAAGAAACGCAAGACGTCAGTTATTATCTTCACGCTTCTTGCTTCGTGATACGTTCTTCGGTGCTCTTATCAGCCGATGTCGCAATTTCATTGGCTGTGGAGTGACAATGGGGTGCTCGGGACTCTTCGTTTCCTAAGCTGTCATTGAGTGTAGTCCTTTGAGCAGATGATGTGCATCGTTCGGTGTGCAGGTACACGGAACTTCACCGCTACCTTATTACCAAGGAGATGGAGGATGTTGAAGACAGGGTGTACAAGCTGGTGTTCCGCACCTTCCTGCGGCTGTCCACTTACAAGGAGTCCAAGGTGACCCGGGAAAAACCCTCCAGAGTTTTCCTCGCTATTCGTGCTTTCCTGTTTCTGGGACGCCGATTGACTGATGTAGTCTAGCGGAGCTAAATTAACTTATACTGCCGTAGTAACATGGGGGTGCCTCCGCTTTGAAATTCTCCTCGGAGGTTGTGGAATGAATCTCGACACATTTAAACGATTGTACCGAGGTTCATTGACCCGTAAACATGTTTCACATCTGTCAATTTTGCCAGGTGTGACCAGAGTACTTCTGCAAAATTCTCGCTTCTTTTTTGCCATTTTGTTTTAATGCCTTTTGTTCTATACCATGTAAATGTGAGCCCAGTGCTAATGATCTTCTAAAGTGACATTCCCAGTGCATGCGGGGCAATAGTGCGTGTTTAATGAATCCACTTCTCCATTTTACTAACTGACTTCCTAACTATTATTGTGGCAATACTATGAAGTGGTCTCCATGTCGAGATTTTTTATGTTCTCAATTTGGTCTTGCTTCATCACAAATGCCTTTATACCACGCAGGTGAATCACATTGACAAGGAGAAATTTGCCAACCTCCTCTACGACAACTTCATCTTCGACATCCCGAAGATCTTTGACTTGTGCATCCTCTTCCAGCGAGGCAATCACGACCTCGTCTGCCGCATGGTCGAGAACATCATGGGTTGTCAACAGAAGTACACCTCGGACCTGAAAGACATCGAAGACACCATGCTCATGGTGATTTCATTCAATCAATCAGTATTTTGTGTTCGTACGAAATAGTACAGACACTGGGGGTCGTTTCTTGTCCGGGTCTGGTCCCCCATTTTCTCGGCAAACAACATGTATGCACGGGGACAAAAGTACATCAATGTACCTAATAGAACACACAAGTAAAATAAAGATCAGCATTAAGAAACTCACAAGAACTTGTTAAATGCATTATCATTTTTGAGCCAACTCTGCACTTTTGTGTTTGTCCTTCGGTTTGTAACCAACAAAGCTGGTGGCATGCACCTCTTGCATACCTACTTCAATTATGCATACGGGAGTAATGCGTCCAATGAATGCGATGCGATATATTAGCATCTTGATGGCAATTACAGTTACCAGAAGTCCTTTTATGTTTATTTACGTATTATGTTTATATTGATATAGCAAGAGGGAAACATTTGAATTGCAGTAATGCTACAACAAAAGTTGTGGGTTGGTTGCGGGAAGCCCGTCCATGGGAAGGGGCAGTTAGGTCAGAAAATTATGTGAATTGGTTTTAAATCTGACAGAAGACCTCACGGACGTCGACGAAAAACATTTCTAGAATTTACGCGGCAGTTCCTAGGCACTTTAATAAACGTCTGTGCAGTACAATGCTGCGAAACGCTGTCGTGCTTCAGCGACAATCTGCCCCTTTTTTTTATGAGGGAGTTTTTTTGTTTTTTTTTTCCAATATAGTGTTTTGACATTTCAGTGCATAGCTATCCTGTTCTTAGGTGCCTTTATCTGATCGGGAATACGAACGACTTCCTGCAGGCATTTGAGAGAGCGGTGCACTCCATTCAGTCGGACATCGACGATGACGAATTCGAGACGCTGCCGAGACGGCTAGACGACCTGGCGAAAGGATCGGAGCTGAGCTCCATGCCCTTCTGGAAGCTGCTGGAGAGGGTCACGTACACCGTGGACATTGCAGCCAGCCTGCTGGCCTTCTTCGAGGTCTATCCAGCCGTCGCAAAGATCTTTACTCTTGGGACTGTCGGACCTCGGTTGGTCAAGTATTTTCTCTGGATTTTGTTCATTGTGCTCTTATAACTTGGCATGGTTGGGCACGTAAAAGGTATTCACTCTGCTGAGAGGTTGGCATTGCTACTACAATGTTATACTACTACAGTGAAAGCTCGTTAATTCAAACTTCAATAATACGAATTTATGAATATTTCGAACTGTATGACTTGGTCCAGCCAAGCTTCCATAGAAATCTATGTATAAAAAAGCCGTTAATTTGAACGCTAGTAGGTTCCGCCACAAATAATTCGAATTACGCGCCACCGCACCGGCGGCTTCACGCCTGGCACACGGCCAGAGAAACGCACCCGTTGCCTACACACGGGGCTGCGTCGCCTCCGAAACGGAGAGAACGGCGAGAGAAGGCAAAATCGGGAAAAATCTAACCGGCGCGGAGGCGGTCAGAAGCGCCAGAAGGCAGCGGCGGCTGCCTCCTCTCCAATCTGCGTGCACGTGACCTCCAAGACTCCTTGCCTGCGCTGACCCGCAAAAAAAAAAAAAAAAAAAAAAAAATCCTTGGTGGGTTTTTGCTCCTCTCCCCCCTCTCCCCCCCTTTTACAACGCCTACACACACACACACACATACATCTGTCTCAACTGTCTCCGTCGGGTGTGCTCGTTCGTATTCAGCTTTGGGGGTACCGGCCGTCGCGATTCCTTGTGGTGTTGTTAAGCCTCTGCTAAAGTTTGTTTCGGCGGACATCGGTGGTGTGGCGCCGGACCCAGAGCTGCGACTTGAAGATGGCGTGTTTTGCGGCAAATACCGTGCCAAAACACTGCAAGAGTGACATCCTGCTGGAAGTGGACGCCGGACTCTTGTCTAAGCAAGAAATTGCGAAGAAGCGTGCAATACCGAAAAGCATGCTATCTACTTACATAAAGAATAAGGGGGCTATTGGCGGCAGAAGTTGCCAACGAAAGGAAGAGGATGTGGCCCGCAAAGTATCCCGACCTTGAGAAAGTGCTTCTGCTTTGGATTAAGGACATGTGTTCACAGGATATTCCACTGAGCGGCCCTGTCATACTGGAGAGGCAGCGGACTTTGCCTAGCAGCTGGGTTACGACGACTTTGCTGCTTCAGATGGGTGGCTGCACCGATTCCGCGAGCGTTACGACTTTGTTTTCCGTGCTGTGTCGGGAGAAGGAAAGGCCGTTACTTCACTTTCGTTTGTTCAAACTTTCGTTAATTCAAACTGGAGCGGCTTCACCTTGCAGTTCAAATTAACGAGCTTTTACTGTACTACAATATTAGTACATAAACATCAGTGCTGGAGGGAAGCGCAAGCTGCCGGAATTCTGAGCGTCTTGTAGCGACGTTCTGCTACGAGACTTATCTAAATTAAGGGTATGCGAAAGTGGATTTAGAGATTGCCTTTTTTATGATGCGAACTCAACCTACCTGCTCTAAGCACCCTAGAAAGATAAAAATTACAATCATGAGTGACCTTTCCCTCTAATAAAAACGTGACCAAGCATTGTGTCACGCCCCTTTGGCCCAAGCATCTCAGAAAATTTAAATTTTAGAATCGTGGTGGGCCTTTCTTTTTTTTAAGAATGCGACCAAACATTGCGACACACCCCCTCCTTCTGAGGTGTGTCTCAGAAAAAGGGCTTATCGCAATGTTCGGTCACATTTTCAATGAAAAAATAATCAGCAGATGATTGTAATTTTTGGTTTTCTGAAACGCTTAAAGCATGTAGGTTGAGTTTGTGTCATAAAAAAAGACAGTCTCGAGATCTACTTCAGCGCCCCTTTTAGCTTTTTATAGAAAATGTGGCTACTGCTTCGAGGTTTTCGGCAGGTTCCTTTTCGAGTTCATCCTGCCATCTGTGGCCACTTTTATGTTTTGCTTTTACTTTAGATAAAATATTAAAGTGCCTTAGGTAAAATATATAAAGTTGCGTCGCTCTGAGGGCCACCTGTAATGTGAGTAGGAGAAATTAGCGCCTGCACATAGCAAACTTGGAGGAATATTTCCTCCAACATGACAAACTTGGATGAATGTTTTCTCCAACATGCTTTTAGGGGTAAGTTTTAGCACCTGATGTTTGAAGGCATGGCTCTGTTCGTGTGAAGAAAAAGAGAGCAGCGTCCTTGGAAAGGCGATACATACTACCGAGTTGTGCTGGCAGTCAGGGTTTTTCCCCTTACCAAGCTGTGGTAGGATTAATACTTTTGAGCTGAAGAGTGTAGTATCGCAAAAGGGGAACTACATTCGTTTAAAGATTTTTGCAATGGGGCTGTTAAGGGCTAGGTTCCCCAGGATTGTGTCCCTGTATGTCGACACAAACCAACCTGGACAGCTACCGCCATCTATAAGCGACGGCGGCATGCACACAACCAGTATGGTTTCCGCCATCGCTCATAGATGGCGGCGACCTTTTCAGTTATAATAGAAGAATGGATAGTCGGGCGCATTGGTGGGAATTCATCGTAGGAAACAGTGCGACAAACAGACGACGACGAAGAAGAAGCACGCAGTGTATTGAGTACAGCTCCGCTGGTCTTCCTTCTTCACGAGAGTGGAAAGGCTGAACGTTTTTTTTGCATGGTTTTATTGCGTAAATATTTTGTAGAAAACTGTTTATCTTAAGTCTTCCCACAGTGAAAAGCCACACTGTGTGCTGGTATTAAGCCAAGTATAAAGCCATCGATGGTGTTTTTTTTCTTTGTTTTTTTACTCATATCGTCACATTTCAGGTTAGCGGAATTCTTTGACTCGACCTTTCCCGTCCTGAAGGAGGAGCTCACCCGTCGCAACAAGCTCAAGAGCTTTGAGCCGTGAGTGCGAAGCTCTCGTTGATGTGACCTGAGCAGAGTGTGTTCACCGTGTCTGTGTGCATGCCAGAGTGTTCACCATGGTGAAGAGGCGACTCTCCTACGCCAAGACCTGTATCCTGAAGGTGTTCCGGTCCATGCTCCAGCAGTCCTGCCTGCAGCCGCTCACCGAGCTGGGGTCTGTTTCCGTGGGACACACACCTTCCATTTAATTTGTATTAGATATATATTATATCGACATAGACAAACATGTCTAAATCTCTCTAAGATTGTCACATGTTGCAACCATTTGTAGGTTATCGAACTACTTAGCATTGCTTTGTCTCGGAACAAAAAAGAAGTCTGTCAGCGGTGTTGTGTTTTTAACAAAAGCAACACGTTTAACTTTTCAAGGCTTGTTCCCATATTTGCTGTGGAGTGTGCTCAGGTGTGTTGCGTGAGGTAACTTTTGAATTGCGTATAACGAGTCTGGAGGTTTTGAGTATGTGTGAGATCAAAATTGGGTTATGGGGATATTTATACAGTGTGTAGTTGGTCAGCCATTTAAAGTCGCGACGAGCCACACGCTGTAGATGAGCAATTTAGCCAGTGCAGTACAACCGCTAGCGTGGGGTCTTTAACGTGCACCACGCAGTAGTGATACACGACCGCACGATGAGATCAAACATGTGTACCATGTATGACACATTGTCAGAATTATTCCAATCCCATAATAAAAAAGTTACGCATACCAAATTGTAGAAATACATTTGCAGGTCGAGTGTGCTTTAAGGCACCTATTAGACGGCACCAGTGTGCCAGAGGGTTCTATCCTTGTAAGTGGTTAGAAGTAGAAATGTGCGAACAGTGGATTTTAAGTTCAAAGCGATGAGTGGTTTTGCCGAATATTTTTTAATCGCATATTGAATATTTTTCTAACCTCTTACTACTGCACCATGCTCTAAATGAAAACCCAGCTGAATTTGTAAAGGTTGTTCCCAAGCTTCCAATTGTCCATTTCGAAGCTAATTTTAATCTGTCTTTATTGACTATGGCCTCAGTAAGTCCAATGCCTACATTGGAATGGCAAGTAAATGGTGCACTTGACATAAAATTAAACCTATAGACAGACAGATTGTTTACGGACAAGCCCACATTTGACCACATTGGGTGTAAGCACTGCGCAAGCGCAGAAGCCAGACTCGCATGAGGTGAAGCCTCTGCGCATGCGCCGTGGCAACAACAGTGCCACCGCAGAGACGCGACGTCAGAGCCGCACGTTGGCGTATAGGGATGCCCAAGTCTACCTCATCGAGGAAATTTATAAATATTATTGCTAAATGCAAATATTGTTTCTTCAGTTGTGGATGATAAACGCAGGTTGTTAGGGCATCTCTACTGAACATATACTTATGCATAATAGCGAATTTAACCTTGACAATTTTATCCAATGAAGACATTAACATTCACAAAGCTTTTTTTTTTTTTATATATACACCAGTGGTTTTTTTTTTTAGCATGGGGCTGCATTATCTTGTACTTTTAGAAGTGCTGATCGCAGGGTTCTAGTTTTGTTGGGTGCAATTCTTAGTGAGCACTGGTGCAGTGCGGAGATGACACACCAACGGCAGTGAGCTCCACGGGTGTTGCTTCTTTGTGGTGCATTGGTGCTCACTAAGAAGTGCGCCCGACAGGGCTAACCCGCCGCGATCAATATTTAAAAAAAATATTAATATTGCGGTTTACCCCGAAATGAATATCGAATGGGGTATTATTGTAAACTGCTGTTTAGAAATTTGAATATTCGCACAATTTTAGTTACAAGGGAATGCTACGCACATGAGCACACTCAACGCATATGAGTGAACCAGACTTAAAACATATTTGCTGTACTCTTCCTCACAAGACCCATGAAAGAATAACCCTGCAAAATTTCTTTCTTTTCACAAGTACTTGTTCAACAAAACAGTTTTTTACAGTCACATTTACTGCCATCTTGCTACTTAACACACCATAGGACTTGCATTTCTGACATAGATATAATATATTTACTAGAACGTTACTTATGCTATTCTTACTCTAAAGACACTCCTAAAAGCAGAATAACTAACAGATTTACATAGCTTAAATTGTTTCTAGGCTAGCTATGTGTAGCAGCATTTGGTTCTAATTTGATCACTTTATGTCTTCTATTTCAACACCAGTCAAGAGAAACCAACAGGCCAGGAACTTCCCTACCTGGAATCTTTCTTCGAAGTCATCTGTAACTGCCTGACAGAGAAACAGTAAGTTGTTCTGTTTCCTTGAATTTGTATTGTCCTGTATTATTGTGGCTTCCCAAACTTACTTGGGAAGCCACCCAAGGGTTGCTGGGTAGCACGGGTTACTCGAGCCTTCAAAAGGTTTTTGCTTGCCCAGCCCTTGAGTTGTGTACTTCTCCAGCTTATCTGAACTTTGGTCGTGGCTGAGTTGTGCTCTCATGCATTTCTTTAGTAAAAGAATTGCATCTTTATTAATAACTCAGATAGGTTTATTTTTTATATGGGTGTCGTGGAATACAAATTTGTAAACGTTTTTTAAGCCTCGAATGAACTAGTAACCCCTGCAACGACTTTTAGAGCGCAGCTCTTAGGGGCCTGTTCCCGGCTTGAGCGGCGTCGGCGTCGCCGTCGCCGTCGGCGTAACCAAGGTCACCCCAAGGTCACGCGACCCTCAAGGTCATCCCAAGATCACGTGACCCCTCCCCCAGGGTCACGTGACCCCTCCAAGGTCACGTGACCACCCCCCAGGGTCACGTGACCTCCCCGATGACGTCATCGTCACTGATGACGTCACCGGCATCCGCATCATCATCGTCATCATCACTGATGACGTCATCAGTGACGTCACTGATGACCTCACCGGCATCCGCATCGTCATCGTCATCATCACTGATGACGTCACCGGCATCCGCATCGTCATCATCACAGATGACGTCATCAGTGACGTCACTGATGACGTCATCCGTGATGATGACGATGACAATGCGGATGCCGGTGATGTCATCAGTGACGTCACTGATGACGTCATCAGTGATGATGACGATGACGATGGTGATGCCGGTGAGGTCATCAGTGACGTCACTGATGACGTCATCAGTGACGATGACGATGCGGACTCCGAGACGTCATCAGCGATGATGACGATGACGATGTGGATGTCGGTGACGTCATCAGTGACGTTATGACATCACTGGCATCGTCACGTGACCCTCCAAGGTCACGTGACCCCCAAGGTCACGTGACCCCCCCCCCCAGGTCACTTCACCCCCCAGTACCCTTCTCTCCTCCTCCTCAAGAGCTGCGCTCTAATTCGGTGTTACAGGGAGTTGTAAACGGCTTTCACTTTTTGACTGTTTTTTAATTTGCACCGAACCTGAGCGCACTGAGTGTAATGACTTAATGAAACTTTTCTTTTCTCAAATTTTGCTTTATTTCAGTGTGTCGAACCGAAAAAAATACGGGTTTGGTTACGGTTCGCGTTCAGGTAAATTTATTTTGTTCCGGTTCAGTTCCGGTTCGATTAATTCAATCCGCGAACCGGTTCAGAAATTATAAATGACAAATTGCAACATCAAAATAAATTACAAATAAAACATCTGATATCAGCACATACGAAACGGGATACATCGTAGTGTAAGGCTCAGGAATTTCTACCAGGAATGGTTTCTTTATGTGCACTCAAAGGTTACCTCACCGACGTTTACGCATTCGGACTTCATCGAATTGGGTCCGACGCAGTAGCTGTAAAATCCGCGACCTCCTTACAAACCCACTTACAAGTAGAACTCGCTAACTATCTCGCCACCTCGGCGTGTAAGCAATTGAAGGAACAGTGGGGAGAAAATACAGCTTTCTTTATTTGAACTAGCCTTCGGTAACTCAAATTAGACCCTTAAAGAAGTTTTCATTAAACAAGACACGGAATATGAACAACACTTCACCGAACGCAACGCCAGAAGGACGTAATTGGATAAATATTAAAATAGAAGAGTTCGCTGTCTCACAAATATGTTAGCTTCTAAGTGCCTATACGAAACCGGATGCATTATTATCAAACTCCGCAGCCTTTTCTTTTCTCATTCCGATGGAAGCAAGCTTCAAGAACTCGCGCGTTCTAGAAACGTGTTATGAAATGAGCACACAGCAGCATTTAGGATTTACGAGATTGTAAAAAAATAAAATCCCGCGACGCGTTTTTTTTGCACAGCTTTCCTATTTTGTTTCTTCCGTGCAAGCCGCGACCAGCGCAATACTGGTTCCTATGTCAAGATTCATGGATGCAGCGTTTATATTCCTAAGACTGAGTGGAGAAGAAAAATATGTAAGCGAGGTGTGTGTCAGTTGACGGCACTTAAAAAACAAATGGCATTGATAGCACATTCATTGTCAACAGCGCTTGGCCGAACCGTTTTGCCATGAGCCGGTAACCGTTATTTTTTTTCCGGTTCAGTTCCAATTCGGGTTCATCGCGATAACAATATAACGGTTCTGGTTCGGGTTCAGTTCCGGAAAAATACCGGTTCGGTTCCGGTTTTCGGTTCGGTTCGGTTCCGGTTCGACGCCCTGCTTTATTTTAAAAGTTATAGGCAAATTAAAATTTACAAAAACAAGCAAAAAATAACTTGTTTCATGACGTCCTTGGTCGTGGCTTGAGTGACCGTGAACTAGAGGAGGGTTAGTGAGCTCAGCGAGCGCTCACGGCTGCCGCACTCCGTGTCGACGGCTCGAGAATACCGTAAAGCATATGCTAAATAGGCTGTATGAAACGGGTGTTCAGGGCGGCTCACATTGCATTTGTTGCGCGATTAAACACTAATTCGGCATGGCACTTAATTGGCCACAAACGACAGCAAACACGGGGTAAAGGTCAGTTCAGAACGGGAGCCACTTCGCGCTGCCATACCGCCAAACGGCCAAACCACAATCCAAACCTGCTCGCCGAAGGCCTTTGGAATGCTCAGAGCCGGTCGGATCCTCAAGCCCGTATATGACCACAGCGCCTCCGCATACATCCAGGACCTTTCTATGCTCGCTGCTCGTCGGTGGCTGATCCCACTACCCCTTTCTAGTATGCGCCGCCTTTTCCACCACTTGGTGGCGGGTATGTAGACAGGTCATTTCTTGTTTCTGTACTTTATAAACTGCATTTGTTTGTTTTCTGATAAAAAATACTTAACAAAAACTGCTTTCATAAGTAATTGAAATGGGTCACGCCACTTATATTTTGTATTTCGACTAAAAAGAAGCTTTTAGCAGCTCTGACCAGTAGTAAGGCCAGGACCAAAGACTTCACATATCGCACGCTATCGGCACCGCGTGTCGCCCCCGTAGGTAAAGGAGGTTTCCATGTCGTCCGGTTAAAAAATATGACGCTCTGATATTTAGTTACTCTCTCCGTGCCCGCTGGCTTGCCCGAACCACAAGAGACGTGGAAGCCGCAAAAAAGACGCTTAAAGGCGCTTAAATAAGGGTCAACTTTTGAACCTTTACCTTAATATGGATTAAATTTACTGCATATATTGGTAGTTGTGAGAGAAAATGCAGTGCAAGGTTTAATCTGTGTATACATGATTTGTGAAATTAATTATATCATAGTTGTTTTTATTTGGAGCACACTGACATTGTTTAGCAAAACTATCGTAAAAAAACTAACGTAATACTTAACATTTTTCTTCGCTAGATATGCAGCAGAATGCCGGGAGAGTGCAACTATGAAAACAAAATTTCAAGGAAGTAATTTCTTTTTTGCTAACATTGTGCTGAAAGACCAAATAAATTTTTTACCTTTTATGTTGACAAAATTTAATATCTATTGTAAAATACTCTCTGAAACTAAAAAAAAAAAAAAATGCCACAGTTGCATTGCTTACAAAATTCCAGTTAGCAAAGACAATTAGGAAGCTTTCCTTTTTGTCCCTTTACCAAACAGTAGTTTTCCTAAAGTAAAATTTATGCCAAAAAGTGAAATGGAGAAAAATGCTTTCGAAGTGCTCTAGCTTCTACGTTTTCTCTAGCATCGGTGGATCGAAAATAAGTTATAAAACAATAACAATGCAGTTTAAACAAATCAAAATTTCTGGGAATGCTCTAGAGTCGAGATGGTGGTGGGTGTAAATATTGCATTTTTCAAAATTACCTTTTTCGGCAGAACTTTTTCGGGTCTAATAAACTGCTCCTATTCTGCAAGAATTGTTCATAAAGGGATATATTTTTCTTGCCTTGCAGCTTCATCTTTGCATACCAGCAGCTCTACCCGGTGGAAGAAGACATTGGAATGTTTGAACAGTTCAATTTCTTTGTGTATCCTTTTGTTCTTGTTTGGCCCACCAAAGCTTTATTTGCTCGTTTTATGTTGGTAAAGATCTCGGAAAGTGTGCATGGCATTAGCGAAAAGAATAAACGGGTATTTTAGGGATTAGTATATTTTCTTTTATTCTGCTTTTATCTGTTAGATCACTACAAATGTTTTCGAAGGAATCTGGTCAGAAGTAGACTAATTTACTCATAGTGCTTATAGTGTTCAAAACTGCAGTCTCACCACACTATGACAAAAAAACAGCTTCTCTGGTCTCTCTCATTAGTGCAAATGTGGCGAGGTTAACTACATCATTGTACTCACCTCACTTGATGTTAGGGTTTTTTTTGGTAGCATTAAGCAATGTTCTATGTTCTTATTTGCCAATCCTAACGAGCATGCTTGAAAGGGCAAAGAGCAAGACTTTTGATGATGTTCTTAGAATCTGCCTGGTAATGAAGTGTGCACCAGCGATAGACAAATCAGAAGGAGCCATAGTATAAACTACTATCCCTGTCTCTTTATCCGGCCTTTTTTTTTCTGTGATTTTTGGGAGATTATAAGAAATGCTGGGGAAAAACTCGCCTGCATTTACAACAGAAAATGCCGATCCACTTTTGTTGCTTGCCGTTAGTGACCTCCGCTGGTCGCACGCCTGGTACCTTGTGACAGATTATGTTTTGAACACCTCGTGCTGGTCACTTTTCAAATGTGAGCATGCCGATTCCTTGACCGAATTCATTCCAGGGACAACACGAGAGTGTTGTATGTCCTCCAAAGCATATGCATGGTGTACGTGGGACTGGGCTGCACGCCTCCGACGAACCTCTCCACTGCACAGGTGGGCATACCTGGGACCGCGACTTCTGGTTGGCAGGGCTCACGGGCATTACTGCAGGTCCTGAACGTAACATGTCGCAGTTAGGTGGTTGCTTGCACGAGGCATTGGCTCTCAGACGAAAGGCCTGCAGACATCCACGAAAGCATTTTAAAGCAATAGCTTTAGTTGGGAACCCCCTTGTTCGTGGTTGATTGACCGCTTGATGTGACATCAATTTCCCCTTTATATATTTAGTGGGGAAATCATTGTGGTGTCGCACGGTGTTGCATGACATGGTCGCTCGTTAATACTCGACGAAGCGCCGTTGCACCTTCGTTGCATCTGATGGAATGCCTAGGCCAAGCGGTCTTTTTGTGGTCCACGAAACCTCGCTCGTCAATCTTTCGATAGACGTGTCAGCGCGCTGTGCTTCTGCAGGACCTGGCCACGAAACCGAAGGCAGAAAAAACGATACCTTCCTTCCACAATGCGAGCAACAACAACGCTGGCAGCGGTGGCAGAGAGGAAGGAGCTTGCGGAGGCGGACCGTCAACTTCATCGGCGGCTGCGGACCAGAGTTCCCAAGTGCAGAGCCTCGGGGAGCTTTTCCCAGATATGCCTTCGGAGTTCCTTCAGGTACAATTTTTGGATTCTTTGCCGTTCAGTTTTTAGAATCATTTTATGTCAAGTTTCTGGGTAGCTAGAAAGCAATTTACAGTAGACTCGTTAATTCAAACTCCAGGAAGCCACAAATTTTGTTTGAATTATCAGAAGTTTGAATGATCAAATTCATCTCAATATGATGCTAGATAAAGTTATGATTTGCCATATGAACGGCTACTTTTACAAAGCAGATATTTGATGATTTCCTTTACATAGGGGTACTGTTCATAAGCAGATGTGCCACACATGAAACATTTATGAAATGTATGGCATAAATTTATTTATCTCTAAAAAATGTTTATTGTGGACTGTTTAGACAGCACATGACATCACAGAACAAAATTAAGCTAGCTCCTCAGGCCAAGAAGTTGTCTACATGAGTAAAGAAAACGGGAATCACACGGCAGTTTTTATAACAACTAGCGCGTAGTGCCAGTTTTCATAGCTCGTGTGTGTTCTGCTTGTGCTCTGTTGAGTGCGTTTCTCACCGAGCAACTGTGCCCTGTGGAGAAGCAGCACCCGTGAAACAAGTTCCGCGGATGTTGCTTCTCTGCAGTGCACAGGTGCTCGGAAAGAAGCGCACTCAACAGGGCCACAAAGACAAAAAGTATGAATTACACAAAAACGCCGTTTGAATTAAGCAGCTCATGAATACATTAAAAACATAGAAGGACAACCAAAATTTGGAAATTTGTTTGAATTAACCAGAAGTGCGAAAAACCTGAGTTTGAATTATCGCAAGCCGACTGTAGTTTAACTTAGGCGCCTTTAAAGGAGCTGTGCAACAATTTCAGGGCTTTGCTTAAATAATTGTGGAAGTTGATGCCTGACACTTCTGCAGTGAACTACAGAAAACAGATTTTGCCTGGATACCCTAGTTTTTACTTAAAAAAATGAAAAAGATCCAGGTTTTCGCCGCCTCTCAACTCGTGCATCGTCTTCCGGGTCACGTGCACAGTGACGTCACTAGAGTAGGCGCGGAGTTCCGGAAAAGTTCTCTCTTTAGACCATCAGCGAGCAGCGAGAACTCATCCGCTGCCGACCGCGTGACCACCCGTCCTTGCCCGTCCGGCGCTGTCCCCCTCCCCCTCCGGCTTCTGGCGGCTGTTCGCGGTTTTGTGGACCTAGGATAGATGGCGCCACTAAAACTCCATATAATAAAAGTTTTGTGGATGATACCAGGGTGTTGACGCATTTATATATATGTTGGAACGACAAGATTTATAAAAAAGTTACCTTTTATCGAGCAGGTATTCGCACAACTTGCTATCTTTCTTACAACGACCCAAGTGACGTCACGCCGCTTGTTTCTCATGGCCGCCGCTCGTGGCTGCAGGTCGGGAAATATTCCAAGTTTTGCCTCGCTATTACGCGGCGGAATCGCAACATTGCGATGAAAGGAGGTGTGTTTTCTGCCATTTGTGACACAGTGAACAATATCAAAAGCAGAAAATGCCAATTCTTTCAACGTTAAAATCGTTGCACAGCTCCTTTAAGAGATTCGAATTTAAAAAATCATCCACTCAACTTTAACATTGGCATTCAAATGGTGTGAATTTTACTATTGGCTGGACATTTTGGGTATAGTAGTCTTCCTACACTCTATCTCGCTAGTTTATTTATTTATTTTTATTTACAGAGTACCTACATCGCCTCGAGGGCATTATTGTAGGAGGGGCGGGAAATAACACACATACATAAAAACACAAAGTGATCACTTGTCCGCACAGATTAGATATACAGCCGAGAAAAAAATACACTGTTGTCCAAGGTGCTCACCACATCATCAGGCAGCAAGTTCCACTCTCTAATTGACTTTACAAAAAAAGAATGACAGAAGCTGTTTGTTTTATAGGAATATTAAAAAATTTTCTAGAGTTATCACACCTAGCTGAAACATACGTTGGCCCCAAAAGATACTCATTCTTATTAATACCAGTATTATTATAATAAATGCGATGGAAAAACTTCAATCTTAATTTTTGCCTTCGAATGCTCAAGGGCTCCCGTCCCAGCATGGTTTTAACCTCTGTCATACTAACGTATGGATCGTAGTTGTTACTTGTTGTTAACCTACATGTTGCACACCATGCTACCTTAGGAACAGGGACGAGAATGCTAGTACAGTTGAACCTCAATTTAGCGAAGTTGCCGGGGCCCGCTAATTATTTCGTTAAATCGGGAACTTCGTAAAATCGAAAAAGACATTTTTCATGCATAGGCTGCACGGGGAATCCGAATTTGTTCGTTAAATTGGGAAATTCGTAAAATCGGGATTCGTTAAATCGAGGTTAAACTGTAGTTAGGAGAAGAGGGAATAAAGGAACTCCCCTCTTAACCTGACCCTCTGTTGTGTACCCCCGTGCTGCTTTTCTCCCCTTCAGAGATTAGGACGTTGCTCAAAATTCATACGAAGGTGGCTTTCCTCTTTCTCCCATTCGTAGCTTCCAAAGCACTTCATGCAACTAGAGTCGGTGACAGTTCAAGAATGAAGTGGAAGCTCCTCCCACCTCTTTCCACTTTAGCAGAGCGATCGCCGAAAAGGAGGCAATCTCCTCTCCACCGTTCGCTCTGCGAATGTGGAAAGAAGTGGGAGGGGCTTCCATTTCATTCTTGACCTGTCACCATCTATAGTGAGAGAGTATTCGCAACTCCAACGCCCTATAGGTGGCGGGGCGGTAGTTCCAAGATGGCGGAAGAGACGGGGATAGATTCTCCAGGATATCCCGTGCGCCTGCTCGCTGACGCTGTTCAGCGCGCTAAAAATAATTTATTTATCTACAAATGCGAGGCGGTTAGGGAGGGATCATATAACAGGTGACGGAGATGCCGATGCACGTTATGAACACGAGCATGCTGATATTTTAAAGTTGCAGAAACCTCAAATTGCGAAGCTTTGTGGTGAGCGAACGCGTTTTAGGCACCGGCCACGTTACTGTTTGTGGCAGAATATTTCTAAGAGTGATGAAGATATGTTTGCGCTTTGCCTGGCCATTAGTGCTCTAAAAAGAGAGCCGCGAACGGTGACCGTCAAGCTTCGGAAGATCAGCAATACACAGTATTGGTGTCTTAGCGTCACAGCCTCTCAAATCGCTGCTCACCGTCTCGGTTTTAGCGTATTGCAACACGTAATCAAACTGCTCTATGGTTATTAATAAAATTTTTATTACCGCACGCTACCGTGCGGTGTAGCATTACAACCGCAAGCTCGCGCTGCGCCTTTGAAGCACAATTTTCAGTGCGCGCCAGAGGTGTTGCCGTGCTTATCACTATAAAAAAAAAAAAAAAAGTTTTAGTCCTTACATTTCTTGTCACATATACGACACTCCAAAACTTCAGTTCGCCGTGCAGCCCACTGACATCAAACTGACGGCCCCAACTTTTACGAGAGGCTTGATGACGGCGCAATATAAGGTATGAAACAGCTAAAGTATGCATCAAAGAGTACCGAAAAACATAACAAAAAACACCGAGGTTTTGCAGTAGGGCCAAGAAAACCCCGATTACTTTCTTTTTTTTCTTCTTTACAGTCATTTACACTTACTTAAGCTATTTTAATAAGTTGCACAACTCGGCTATCAAGCTGCTCTTGAAAGTTGGTAGCTCCCGTTGAACGCCAGTGCGCTGTACGTCCAACTGAAGTTTAGGGGTGTCGTACGCTATGTAAAAAACTTCCTGTTAACATAATCGGCGTGTTTAAGAATTTTGTTTATTGCTCTATCAAAAAAAAATTTTGTATACCGTACATTTGTTGTACCGTGTTATTTGCAACATTGCGATCCCTCTGGCCAAAACTGCGCGTTGTAAGCTCTCGTCACAAGCGGCTGGCTAACACAGACGCGCTTAAAATGCTTCGAGCATTTCTTTATTTGCTTTGTAATTACCTGAAAGCAAGTACGGGTATTCTATCTTTTTAAAGTGCTTGGAATAAAAGGTCACGTTCCTCGTAACGGCCTTAAAACGCGAACCCCTTCCCGATTTGTATTGCTCGACATACCGTTGCGCGACGAGTTTGCTCCTGCTTATGGCAAAAAATAGACTTTACGTAGACCGTACTATAGAGTTCTTCATTATTAGCGGGAGCGTTTTCCGTCATGTTGAGCACTGATTGAGCTGGCGGCCATGCACAAGACCAGAAATCCGCAGCGTATGCGATACACGAAAAGTCCCTAATGAAATTATACCTTTCGGTATAATTTCCTTTCGGTCCATTGTGCAAGGCTGTTGCAAGGCGCAGCACAAGAATTCCTTTTTTAACGCACTCACGTTTTTCATTAAAACGGCTTCACGCATCAAGGCCGGCAGTCCCTGCCACTGTTTCCGCGCCGCCGTCGCCGCCGTCGCCGCTGCCGTCCCCGCTCCTCTGGTTCTCCGTTCGTCCGCGGGAGGGCGAGCGGCGCGCTGGAGTTGCGAATAGTTCCACCTGCAGCTTAGTAGCATACGTTAGAGCACTGTATAGGCCTACTTTTTACGGCTTGGCCCGGGCCCGTTGGCCCTGAGTCTCGCCCAACCCGGGCCCGACACGGCTGGAGGTTCCTCGATAGTGGGAGATAACGCTCGTCTGGGGCAGGGCCCGAGAACAATGCGTACTACCTGGCCCGGCCTGACCTGGGCCCGTGGCAGAGCTCTACTCCACCTGGCCCATGATTCTGCTGAAAGTGTTCTTTTGCAATTTGCCCATACCTCTTAACCCGCTTTACTGCAAAGGGTAATTGCAGTCGCCTACCAATTTTGGGACTTCACAGGGACCGAAGAAACATCCAAATAATAGAGCGGTCCGAAAAATAAGCGGATTAATTAAAAGAATTGCCTTTATTACGTCTGAGCGGGCCTAAGAAAGCCGTCAATATTGTGTTGCTTCAGGTTATGCCTCCGCTTGCATTCGTCCACTTTCTTAGCTCGAGAATCACTGCCTTCTCTAGCATTGTGGGCGAGTACCTTCCGCGCTTTTTAGTAGCACCTTGTGGCACCTGTAGAACAGATAGGGCCTCGACATCCGAGCCAGCATAGTTGAAAAATATGATTCACTGAGACTAGATGAGAGCCGCAAGTCCACAGCTGCAGAATGGTGAATGAACAAAGCAAAATGGTTACAGTGATAATAATGATTAGCAGCTAGGGATTAAAAAAAAAAAGCCATAACATAGCGTCACCTAGCGTTAGGCCTTAGCAGTACTCAAGTGGCACTCCCAAACCAAGCCAATTTTGGTTTACAGGATAGAGATAACGTCTTCGCGCGAAGATACCATCTGTAAAGAATGCATTTGTATGGAGAATTGTGTTCTCATTTGATTATTCGCTACGTTATTTATGCGCAACGCGATGATTGGCTGTATACGTGTTCTGCGGGAAAGTAGATGCAAGGGCCTTGTTCGTGAATAGTGCGACTATTACTCGAGTAAATACGGTATTTGTATCGGGTAGGTCACGGTTCCTCATTTTGGGCCTAAATATCAAACAAGTTAGAATTATCGGCTTTAAAAAATTGGTCGGCGACTATAATATCTGCCAGTCTACAAAAACTAAGTTTGAGTGAGAATCTCTGAAAACGAAAGGTGTTATTGTGCATGCCCTTGATCAGTAGGACATCTTTACAAAGATATGAGCTCACGCCGACAACCTTGGTTGAAGTGCAATGAGAGCGTACAACCATGGATGAACCAGGCTTGTGTAGAGCACTGACCACATTTGATTAAATCGTATGTTTAGGATTGAACTTAGTTTGCTCGGCATTGTTTTTTCACGTATTTAAAGGGGTGTTCCTCTCTGCAGCAATGCCTCGAGTACTACAATGACAACTATGAGGAAGTGGTTATGGCACTCCTAGACAACAACCTCCCTCCAAGCCTCAGTCAGCCAGAACCTTCAAGCTCACGGTAAGTCAAGTGATAAATGTTACTCTGCGTTTTTTATGTTTTTTTTATTTTGTTTTCTATGCGAAGCACTAGTAGATTGTGGTTTTGCGGAGGGTTCTCGTGTTTTTGTCTAAATCTGCACGCGCAAAATTACTAGTTCCAGTGACATGCGAGTTCGTAGCAAAATCCTGCGTTTTTTTCCGCGATTTGCGCCCACGGTATTGGTTCCAGTGGCATGCAAGTTTGTAGCCAGTTTCCATGTGCTTATCACACCATGAAACACGAATCTGCTGCGTGCACAATCTGCTGTATCCTTTCCCGTTACGAAGGAGTTCGTAGCGAATTCTCGCGTGTTTATTGCATTATGAAACATGAATTTGCTGTGTCAGCGATCTGCAGTGCCAGTTCCTGTGTCCGGTATCCCTGTGTTTATTAATTTTTATAAAGCTTTGCTGTCTCATCCCCAAAGATAGCCCACCTCATCTTTTTTACCATTTATATGTCTTCATTTTGTTTGGGCACCCTTATAAAATTTTACATTAATTTGTTTTCTTTTTTTTTTCTGTATTGCATTTCTGATTTGAGAACAATCCTAATTGAATCAGGTTCTACAGAGTGAAACAAAGAGACGCCAGGCTCTTTAAATCGTCCGGAAAATTCGATTTCTTAATGTATCGGGCTACGACTTTGTGCAGCGTTGCCCACAGATGGTGCATTTTTTTTGTAAAATTTTCAAAGAGCGAACTTACCTGAGGAAAAAGGAAAGAAAGAAAAAGGCTTAGCTCCTATGGAAACGCAGCGACGCCACCGGTCTTCAAACAACACGGCACCGTTTCGAACAGGAGACAAGAGACGGCGCAAGCGGTTGCGACGCCAACTGGCGCCAACGAACGAGCACACGACGCCGAGAGCCGGCATATTTAGCAGACAAGGAACTACAGTTCCTTGTTGTTACCGCGCCTGTTTTTGTCTCTGCGACTGTCGCCGCCTGCGGAACGCGCGCCGCTTTTGAGTCGAAAAGATTGTCCGCTAAAGACGCTGGCTCTCGGCGCCGTATGCTCGTTCGTTGGCGGCGTTCGTTGCGCCATCTCTTGTGTCCCGTGCGAAACGGCGCCGTGCTCTTTGAAGACCGGTGGCGTCGCTGCGCTTCCATAGGAGCTAAGCCTTTTTCTTTCTTTACTTTCTCCTCAAGTAAGTTCGCTCTTTGCAAATTTTACAAAACAAAATTCACCGTCTGTGGGCAACGCTGCACAAAGTCGTAGCGTGATAGGTTAAGAAACCGAATTTTCCGGTCGATTTAAAGAGCCTGAAGTCTCCTTGTTTCACTTTGTATTACATTTTATGAACTGCAGTCTTACTAGGTAGATGTTAGAAATCAAAAGTATCACAGAGGTTTCATTCAACAGGCATGACTAAGTACTAATATATCTGTGTCAGTCGTTATCGAAACATTCTCCCAAATAAGAAAGTCAGTGATTATCTTCATGATCTCTGTTAACGTCCTTTTAAACCTTTCTCAATGCTCGAAGCCCTAAAAACATTTTTCTCTCTTTCTCCATTTTTAAAAACATTTCCAGGCTTGCCACGCTTGAAGCAAGGAGCATCTACGACAATGATGAGTTTGACATCCTACGGAGGGACGACGTGGATTTGTCCAGAATACACATTGGAAAGAAGTATGGTTCCTTCGACCCTTTTGAGTTTACAGTCTTGCGTTAGATCTTGTTCATCTGGAGGACCGACTGACTGTAAATAGCGACCATAAATACTTTGTAAAAGCAAGAGCTAGGAGACAGCTATTACCTACTATTTATACAAATATTGATACATCAAATACCCCACGGGTTCGAAATCGTAGCAAACTTCCCCTTTCCAAATTGTGTTCCGTAAATCTGGGTGCGGAAATATTGGTTGCTTGGTTTCAGATTTAAATCAACATTTGATCTTGCAGAGCCAAGAAAGAAAAAAAAAAGAGCCTTAAAGTGTGTTACTTGTGTTTCTATGGATACTTCACAAAAGTAAAGGCCCGGGGGCCGCTTCTATGCTCCGTTTCGCCTTACGATAGACTGCAACAGATGCTACGAGCCATCCTATTCTCAATCCAGTGCTGTGAGCTTATCACGTGACTCTCCGCCCCATATGTCACTGCTCCCTTCCGGAAAGTCACGTGATGCTCCCACGGCATTAAACTGGCTCCGATGGCTCGTGGCGTTCGCCGTGATCTATTGTAAGGTAAAACAAAGTATATATACCGTTGAGACCGGTTATAGCGAAGTTGGTTATAATGAAATAGCGGCTACAGCGAAGTGACCACAATTTCCCGTTCCCGTTTGCACTTTTTCAATGCATCTGTGTCTGTTTCTAGCGAAGGAAATCGAGCGGCTCCTGTGGATATAGTAAAAAAAAAATTTTGTGATAATTTAAAAAAAAAAAAATTCGGAAAGTTCATTGAGTCTCGGACCGCCACACTTTGCTGCCGCGGCCAAGAAGCCACTCGGAACAGGCTGCAGAAGATGCTGGAAAGACCGCCGGCGGCAGTGTCTGCAACGTCGTCTGCTCCCTGCTCCTTATCTGGGAAGTGGCTTTACCGCACCGCACGCGAAGGAGCCGTCTTGGCATGTCAATAGGGGCATTCGGAGCACTAGCAACAACGTTCCGGCGGAGATGACGGAGAGAGCTTAGATTTAAGAGAAGGAGCGTGGCCAGTGTGGCGAGGAAACTGGGTGGAGAGGTGGACACGTTAGCAGGAGGTGAACGCTTTTGAGTTTTGACCCCTTGCATGCTGCAGCTCGTTTTGCAAACGCGGTCGACAAACCACGTGACCCTGATCGAGCAGTTGCCCCATCTCTTAAATCTAGGCTTTTTATACTGATGACAGACAAGCTTGAGCACAAACTCGGTGCCGTGTGCGCTTCTTTATTTGCTTCGTGATCCGTGTCGGCGTCGCTCAAGCACCGATTCGGTGAATCATTGCCACTCAACGATGTAGAGTCCCGGCACCCTTGGCACCTCGACGGGGAAGAGGAAGGCAAGCTCCTTGCATCAAAAGTGTGCCATCCACGACGGAGTGCTCATAAACGTAAAAAATGCCATCCACTGCCGGCGTCCTCCGTGGGGCCATCGCAACTGTCGACACAATCTGTACATAGCAGGATCTTTTTTCGGTGGGCTTCTCGCAGTTGGCAAGAAGCGGCTCCGATCTAGCAGCAAACGCATGCAGGGAAGCCTTGGCCGCTTTCTGCAGGCTCAGTAAACATGGGCCCGTGACAACCCGTGTTATCTTCTTTTTTTTTTTTTTAATGTTATTTGTATGAGTCCAAGTATAACGAAGAAGCGGATATAGCGAAGCGATTTCCGATTCCCATTTACTTATTGTTATAACTGGTCTCGACAGTAGTAACATAAAAATATCAATACCTGTGTTTCACTATGGCCACATAATAGTAATACTGAGTATCCCTTCCCCAAAATGTATCCTGTGAATCTGGGCCTAAAGTATGCAGTGCGCCACTTCGGCTGCTTCTTTTGAGTCGTGGCGGTGACGTCAAAATGCCAAACTCTGATTGGCTCTGATTGAAGGATGGTGGGTAGACCTCAAGGCAGCTTGCAATGAGTTATACCCCCTGTCCTTCAATCGGAGCCAATCAGAGCTCGGCCTTCTGATGTCATCACAGCCCCTGCAGAAGAAGCGGATAAACTTATGCTGACATTAGGCAGGTAGCAGCTGTTTGGTATCTACTAATCTTAAACGAACATCCCTCAAAATTGCGGGCCTAAGAAGACGACAGACCTTAAAGTGCGTTGCTTGTTTTTTTCCAGGAGCAAGACGCCAAAGTCCCTGGACGAAAAAGGCCACGACAGAGTGCTGAAGGAGGTCTACGAGAAGTACAGCATGATTCACGAGGACGTTGCAGAAGACACGTACGAGGACGAGTATGACGACACGTACGATTCCAACGACGTCGGTCTCGAGGAGCCGGCCCGTGGGGACGAATTGACGATGCGAAGGTAGGCTCCTTCGACATGCAATTACGAACCCAGTTGTCACTGAAAGTGGGGTGGGCGTTCCCCCTTATTTTACGGTACTACCTCTGTTTGTCGTCTGTCGGCACAAGTCGAGCGTCGTGCGAAAGAGCCGTGATCACCCGTAGCCTTTGGGGGAAAAAGTTTTGATGGGCGTACGTGAATTTCAAGACACCATATATATTATGGGTTTAGCCGTCGCTCTAACGGGGCTAAGTAATGATACTAGAGGTACACAGCGGCAGAAATTCGTTCCTGAAGGATCACTATGGTGACGGGATAACCAACTGCATCTACATATACTCTGTTATAGCAGAAGCTACCGGAGCGGGCTCCGGGCATTCGGAGCCCTCGATGCAAGCACCGTTCGGGGCAACCAGCTTGTCCGTGTAGTTTCGGCTTCGCTCGCGTTTGAAGTGAAACAGACTGGCGGCTGTTTTACCAGTTTTATTGCTCCATTGGTTTGAGTATTATGATTCATGGGTGGGTCATAGTTTTGGGATGTGTATGTAGGCGTGTATTACGGAGCGTGTCCAGAAAAGTAGTTCAAGAGTGATGCCTAGCGCAAGCCTTGTCCATCCAAGAGGTTTCCCTTTGGAAGTATCACGAAGGGCCAGGAGGACCAGACAACTGCCAACTCTCGTCCGAGTGCATCCTGCATTTCTCGGTGTAGTCTGTTGTCGTGGAAACTGAGCCAACTTGAACCATCTCCGTCCTAACAAGCTGTCCCATTGCAAGGAAAGTTACTGTGGCTGCTACATCTGCCGTATAGCGCAGTGACTAGGTGAATGTGGGCATTGCCCCAAGCTGCTGTTCAGAAATTTAGGCGTGTCCGTGGTTTGTCTCGTGTTTAATGCAATTGCATGTGCCACATCTCTCAAACGTTTTCTTCTGTTCAACTGAACCCTTCCCAGGCCCTTCACCGTACCTCGTGTCCTGGAACCAAAGCAGGGGCGGAGGAATGGAGACAGCCGCTATGACGATGGCGGAGGAGCCTTCGAGGAGGTATGTTAGAGTTATAAAAAGATGTTTCCTTGCCTTCCCGTTAAAAAATACAAGGTCTCACCATTTTATGAATTAAAATCAGAGGATCTCTCATTCCCTTCATCAGTTTTTTGGGGCGAGTTTCATTAGAATACCGTATTTACTCACATAATGAACACACTTTCTTTTCCCAAACAATTGACACATATTTCGGGGGAGGGGTGGGGGGGGGGGGGGGGGGGGCGTTATTACGCAAGGTAAAGTTTTTGCATTTACACACTTCGTGCAAATGTTATATTAGGTGCCAGTATGACACGGCAAGGTACCATGGCACATCTCCACTGATGGAGACGCACCCTCGGCTGGTCGGGGGCGCACCACAGTAATCATACTTTATAAATTGAGAACCTTTTTAGTGTGCTTTGGCGTGCCTTTTGCCGAAGGAAAAGCGCCCTACGAAGCTCACTGAGCACGGAGCACCACTTTCACGATTTCACCGTCCGAAAGCGGACCAAAGATGACGGCGTGTTTGTTGACATCAATGCATCTGATGGACGAAGCACGTCCGGGGCTGGGCAATTCCTTGACCCCAGCTTCGATAGGCGTGCGCGCCGCTTGGTTTCACTGTTGATCACTTTCGCAACTACGCACTTGCGGCTGCTTGCAGTCATTTCGAGAGCTGCTTGGCTTGGCTTGATTTGGCCTGACTGCTTGGCGGCAAAAGAAAATTGGCGTAGTGGCTAGCTAAATTGGATGCAATTCGAAACTCTGGGAGCCGGAAATCGGAGGTCCGTTCATTACGCTAGGGAAACAAAAAGTTTAAATATTAATATCCGTTGCGGGGGTTGCGTTCATTATGCGAGTAAATACGCTATCTCCAACTTGTCAGCTTTCTTGGAAAGAAAATCAATTCTGGACCTGACCCAAAAATTTCATGCAAAGAGTAGCAAACATTAGCATAAAGCAGGCAGTCTGGAAGTGGGCCTGTACCAGCTGGCAGAACCAAGTTTTTTGTTGGACAAACCAGAATTAATACCACATCTCATTTACGGTAGAATCTCGATGATACTAATCTCTCGGTGATCGAACAATGAATGTAGTCAATACACCAAAGTAAAAGGAATGCACACTTGCTGTTTATTTGCTCCCTGCTCAGGGGAAAAATGACGTTATGTTTTTCTCAGGGGTCTTATTTTCCACGAGGTAACCCTGTGTGGTGGACACTTTTGAAATGCGTAAAGTCGTGTGCATGTGTTGTCGCCGACGTTGGTCGAGCTCGCGATGGGCCGCAGAACATCGAGAGCGCGCAGTATTTTGGTCGTTGTGGGCAGTTGCTTGCCGTTTCCTTCATTGCCGCCGTCATCATCACTATTGAAGCTTCCCAGTTGCGACGCTGTCACGTCGTCAACGGCTTCCTCGACTGTAAGTCGTAAAATCACTGTCTGCCGCGATGAAGTCGCGTGCAGATCCTTCAATGCCAAGTTGCTCCCAGTTTTCTATGTCCAAATCGTCCACTCCTAGTACTGGAGATGCAACCAGCGTGGGATTCAGAAATCCACGCTTGTGGAAGCAGCTCGCGATAGTGCTTTGAGTGGCGCGGTTCCACAGCAGCAATGTGAAGGGCTTCCAAGAGGCTCATCTGAAGCGTCGACGATGCGGGGCCCAACTACTTCGCTTGATCAACACGTTTCCTTTTCGGGTCTTGGTCAACCTTCCTCAAAACTTCTAGCTTCTGCTTGAATGAAAGCGCCTTACGCCTGGGAGACATCATCGGCAGTCCTCGATTGGAACTGATTCGGTTTGCTGCGTTGGGTAGCCTCTGCGCATTTTCAACTTTTTGCTTTTGGTGTCAACTTGGCAGGAACCCTGCGTACCCTTTCGACCTCTCGCTGCCACGCCGCGCCAACAAGAGAGAGAAAACGAGGAGGAGCAGAGAGCCTTGATCGTTTTCGAGCATCTCCACCCTTTGCTTGGCCTCTCTTTCTGCTTTTCTCCTCAACTAGGGCATGCACACAAGCAACTGGTTTGTGCAGGAGGCTTGGCAGGTGTTCGTCATTTGATTGCGAACGCCCTCAGTGGCTTCAGTTGTCGCTTCTCTGAAATCTAGGCTGTGTAGTAAGGTGCTGGTTGTGTTGGTTGGCCACTGCCACGACTGTGGCCACTTCGCACTGCCATGTGCTGTGTTCCAAATCTCGCTGAAGCGACTCCAAGTCACACGCTCCAGTGGGTCGTATCGCGTGACGACGGTAGAGCAATGCTGGATCAGTTTTGGGGGTTCAAGCAAGTGCTCATTCTTTGCACGTGTCCTCTTCTTTTTATCTATATTTTGTGCGCTCTATTTTTTTATTGATGCGATACCGAGTGGCCCACTTTTCTACACTTCTGATGCACCTAGCTTTCTGCATTTTGAAATGCCAAAGTGCACTCCAGAGTGGGATTGTGTCGAATTTGGGGCACGGCCATGGTTATTCCATTTATGTATGTGCGCCAAGACGAATTTAGAGTCGCCTGCAATGTTTACCTCAATGTCCCTCTGTACGGGGTGTTTCTTTTTAAGCTTAACAGATTTGTTTTAAAAAAAGTTATGAAAGCTACACTACTACGGTTTGTGCAGGTGGTCATATGGCCAGGGGGACATATATAGAGGGCTAATCGTCACAATGAGTCGAATAATTCACTTATATTTGTTAATTAACTTTTTAATTAGTGAAGATGGACATGTGGTTTCAATTAGAAACTTACTGGGCATCATCGAAAACCACTAAATCGGTCATTTTTAGAAAGACTTTGAGCACGTGGGAAGCGCAGCAATGTGCTAAAATTACCACTAGTGCGACAGGCACAAGGCTGGGCTATGTTAAGAGACTAAAAGACCGCGCGGGCGTGTTGTCGCACTGGTGGCCTTGCTCCTGCTGCACGGACCACAGACGACGGCGTGTTTGTGGACATCAATGCATCTGATGAACGAAGCACGTCCGGGGCTTGGCAATTCCATGACTCCAGCGTTGTTAGGTGTGCACACTGCTCGGTTTCACTGTTGATCACTTCCGCGACTACGCACTTGCAGTCATGACGAGAGCATGTATTGCTATGCTTGACTTGACTTGGCGTGGCCTCTTGGCGGCAAAATAAAATTGGCTGGGTAGGCTTAGTGGCTAGCTGAGTTGGACACAACTCAACACTTGCGGAGCCGAAATTTGAAGGTGTGTTCATTATGCGAGAAAAGAAAAAAAAAAGTCAAAATACTGAGGCCCAATGTAGGGGTGTGTTCATTATGCGAGAAAAGGGGGTATGCACCTTTGGCCGTATAACTCTCCTGCACAAACCGCATTAGTGTAGCTTTCACAGGTTTTTTTAAGGGGGGACACTACCTGGGAATGTCAGCTTTTAATCCGCTCACTCAATCTGTGCGATATTTGCAGGTGGTGTTTGTAGCTTATAGAAGGAGGGCATGCAAAGTTTCAGCCCTGTGAACCAATTTTATGAGGTACTAGACCCCCGGAACGTGAAATCTGCTGAATGAAGGAATAGTTGAGAAATGGTGTTGACACCGTAACCCCATATTTCTCTGGTGGAATGCAGAATAGAATACCTGTTGCCGGTTACTATGACAAAAAAAGAAAAGATTAAGAAACTATGCATTTTTCAGGTAAAAAATTATGAATTTTGTTTCCACATTTATTAAGTTTTGCAAATTACAATATTTCATAATAAAGGAACATGAGAATGCAAAATCTAAGTTCATGGTAACCGGCTCCACAAACATTTTGGCATATAAGCCGCAAATATTGAATCTCAATAGTTTCATACTGAAACAGTATTTTTACTAAGGTGGGATTCGCTGCCAAAAAGCTGAACTGAGAAAAACGTGTTCAAAGTGCTTGAACCTCTCTACCTTTTCCTTAGTATCGAGGGTCCGAAAATAATAAAAAAAAAAAAATAAGTATACTGTGTAAACAAATGAAACTTTTCATGAATACTCTCTAGATGTTGGTGGATGTAAATGTGGCATTTTTCAAAATGGATTTTTTTTGCATTCTTTTTTTTCTGGGTTGTGTCCCCCCTTAAACGAGTGTTACGCTTAATCAAAGGACTTTACCTTCTCAAGGTTGGCGCTCTAGTTCATATCGTTCACTGTGTCCTAAGGGGGCGGCACTATCCCAAAATGTGACACATTGAAAAAAAAGCTTTTCGGCCGGGGTTTTAAAAAATTTGTATCATCCCGAACATTGATCAACCTCGGTGATATCATCAATGTTTTACTGTGCTGGGAAGTGAGTGCGTAGATACGAAAACGTGCTCAAACTCCAGTTTTTTGGGCTTGTGAATAGTTTCAAGCGGCAATTGTACAGAAATGCCCAGTACCAATCTTGTATCGCGTCTTCTCGGGTATTTTTGACGTCCACTACGAATGATGTCCACTTTCATGCAAGAAACTCTGTAGGTGGCATCGATTCTAGAATTCGTCCTGCTCAATTTTGGGCACGCGAAATGCCACGCTTAGTGTCGAAGTGAAGAGAGAACACATTTGCGCGAGTATGTCGTCTTTACCTCGTCATTTGCTAGGTTCCTTCCTCAGGTTGCTTACGGCTTTCTCTTGTGGATTGCAGGAAGAACAGTGGCAGCCTCCGAGGGACCAGTTTGTGGCCAACCCGGCGGAGATCCGCGAGCGACGCGAGCAGAGGCATCGGGAAATGATGGAGAGGAGGGGGGGACCTCCCAGGCAACGAAATGTTAAAGGTGGGCTGCCTGCTGTTATTCGCTTTCCCGTCGTTTTAATTGAGACCGTACTCGGTTTCTTTACGGGTGCGAGCGTAACGGAAGCTGCAAACCCGAGCTCCAGGCTTCCGACGTCCCTGCCAATCACACACGCTCGTGCGGTGCAAGCGTCTTTTGGGGGAACGTGCTTGTAGCTTTGGCTTTGCTCGCGCTTCGAGTGAAGCGAACTGTAGCAAACCAACAGATTTGGGGGCTCTTCGCCGAGATCTCGCTGTCACACGCACGGGGACCAGTACCGGACCCCCTGAACCTCGCCTTTGGCTTCTACTCTGTCCCAACTATGGAAGGTCCCTTGGGCAATGGGCCAGTCTCACTAGCCGTCCCACTTGTGCATGAGTGAGGCCGCCATAACTTTAATCTGCAAGGGACCGGCTGCAGTGCACTGTCTCACACTCTGCTCGCTTAGATCGCAGTGGGGTTGACATGCATGCAGGACTGCAGTTTTCGTGACTCATGCTGGCGGCGGCAGCGTTACAAAACTAGCTTCGGGGTAGTGGGTGATTTCACATTGAGAAGTGCTAATGAACAGACTTACTTCATTTATTTTCGGAAAAGTTCAATATTTTTGGTGCAGTCTCGCTTTAGGCATGATCACAAAACAAAATTAAGCTTTAGGTGCTGCAGGCAACATTGGCTACATGTTGTCAATGCCAGGGCACAGCCGCGTGCTATGGACAGTCATGCGATAGAACGCAGTTGATGTGTTGTCTGCCTTACTGCACACGCTGCATCCCCCGACATCTGCATTACTCTGGCCCGCACATGTGTCGTTCAGAAACGCAGCCAAGTTTGTAAGCAAGATGTTATCGGGACAGATCAGACGTGCACTATGTCAGGATGAACTTACAGCAGACAACTGTTCTGGCATGTTCACAACGCTGTGTGTGTGCCACGATCCACTGCCGATCACACTGTTTTCTCAATAACAAAGATTACGTGAAGTTGCCCCTTAAATCCCTTAAGGCTGTAGCAGGAGTGCTTGACATCTGATCTTCGTGTGATGATTTGGCACGTCTGTCTTGCCTTACAAAGGTTATCACAAACTATATTCTGCCTCTTTGCACCCACTGTAGAGCAGACAGCTGCGGTCTCATGTCAGATCAGGCCTGTTGTGTTAAGCCTTCCTAGTCTTCAAACTAGAGGTAGGCTCGACAATTCAACCAAGTAAAAATGTCTGCAACATAGCAGCGGGGTTATGCAGCATGCTCTACTTCACTTCTTGTGCCTATAGTAAAAAAAAAAAAAAAAAAAAAAAAAAACAGTTTCTCTTAACAGAAAGGCTGTTAGATGTTTAACCCTTTAAGTGCCACTTTTTTTTTTTTTTTTTAGAAAGCAACCTAAAAAGGCCATATATATTTTTTTAAGTTTTAGTCCTCTAGTATAACAGATAAAATTTTAAAAGTTTATTTTGCCAAAATCAGCGGCGGCAAAAAGAAAAAAGGCGCCAATTCAAAATGAGTGCTGCTATCTATGGGCAGCACCGCTAGCTACTCAGACGAGCCTAGTTCGTCCGAGGTATCAAGGGCTACCGGAAAACCACTGGACGAGCCGAGCTCGTCCATGGCATTTTCAACCAAAAAGCGGCCGACAAGCTAAGCTCGTCCAAGGCTCTTAAAGGGTCAAGTCTCATTGCAAAACGCCGTTCCTGACAGTGTCAAATTCTGTCTATCCTGGTGGGCTGGAGTCTGGTTGACTTCTCTGTAAATTTGTTTGGAAGAGAGTAAAGGCAAAGTTTCTCATCCCCCCAATCCGAGCCCGCCGGATTGTGTCCAAAGATTTACAGAAAACTAATCCGCAGACTCTTTCCAATTAAAGCTTGTAACCGAATCCCCGTAAATATTTCAAAGCATATCAGTTCTTGTATAATTGAAACAGAAAGCCCTGTGGCAAAGGTTCTGAAACTTTTCAATCTCGATGACCCCTGTCCGCCATGAATGACACCCAAAGAACCACTCCTGGTATTGGCATCGATGTAATAAAGCAGCACAGAAACCTACACACACCTTGTAAGTAATGACTAGGATTCCATGTTTTCGGAGTTCATTTTTCTTTAAATTCAAACGGGGGTTTTCTGAGTTCATTTTTCACTGAAGATTTAAAGTTTATTGGAGTTTATACTTTTATATTTCCAATGCTCCAAAATAAATTTTACTGTTTCCAATATTTTGGTATTTAAAAGAAGAGTAAATAATGCCTGGACACATACATACACTAAATTCATAAGAACTCACCTGTATTGAATGGTACCTTTGAAGCTGCATTTAGCAAGTCCCTTACCATCGTCAACACCACTAACCGCCCCACGACAACTCTCGCAAAGAAGTGTTGTTTCAGATAATGTCGACACTTTGAAATTAACTAAACACCTGGACGTAGTCGCTGGGAAGCAGGAAGCTCCAACTGCTCTGCCCCTCATATAAAATCTACAGGTTCATAGCAGAAAATCATAGTTCTCACTGTTACAAAAATACGACTAGTACTTCTACCTCAAAGCACCAATATCGTGATATTCCAAAAGATGCCCCCCCGAAAAGATTCTAACTCATCCCTATTTTTGGCATGATTTGCTATTCTTTCAGTAACACCAAAAGAGAGCCCACTTCTAGTAATTGCAGGACCCTGGCCATAGGTGAACTCAGCGGAAATGGTGTTACTTAGCTGCGGCGGGAGATTAGCAGACATTGTTGACTGAAGACTACAGTCATTTTTAGTTCATCACTCCTTGCTGCAATCACAAGTTTCGCAGGTCACGGAATCTAAAACTAGCATTCTTTTAGCTTTCTTTTACTGCACACCGAAATTTAGCCCACTCCTTCTTTTCACTCGATTTGCTTTCAGTTTTATGGGGGGTATCTCGGGGTATTACGGTAGTAGTATGGCTTCGAGCTGGAAACCTGAACGGTGGCTTTTGTCGTGATCCAAAAGTACAATGAACTGTTGCTTTGAACGAACCTTGATGAGATAAACAATGAACTCTCTTTTGTGAATAGTCCAATATTTCAAAGGAAACTGAAGTGGCCTCTCCTCAGGGCCACTGTCCCTGTGCTTTTAATTGATTGATTCGTAAAATACTTAATATTGCTTTTTATTTTTTTATTGTTATTCCGAAATTCAGTTTTTCGGATATATCCGAATTGACGAAAATATTACAGCCTTGTGTTTTTCGGAGTTCTTCGGATTTAAACAGAAACACGGAACCCTTGTAATAATGCACGTGCTAAAAGCATTCGGCTCATAGTTATGCATTAATCGATGACTCAGATCCATTAAAATGGTGCTTGAACTGGGAAAAAGTAGTTTTACTTAGGGGCAAGGACAGTTGAAGAATTTTGAGAGCTCTGGAAAGTTTTGAGTGGTGCTGTGGGTAAGTCTGGGTTCTTCAGAGTACCCTCAGGGGTTCCCCGAGCTCATACAATTTCTTAATCGTAGGGACGGTCAAGGAAATGTCCCTAGCCCTAAATGGGTGTCCAGATTAGGCACTATCTGAGCAGATCTGAGCCATCCATTGATGTATAACCGTGGGTCAAACATTCCCAGTGTGCATTATTCTGTACATGGTTTGTGGGCTTCTGCGCTGCTTCAATGCGTCAATGGATGCATAAGAGCCCTTGGGGTAGGGCACGAGACACAGTGTTTTCAAGTGGTCGGAGAACAGCAATAAACCGTGGGCCACATTGTTTGTGTCGTAAAGGTGGCCCCCGCGGACGAGGCCAGTCAAGGGACGTGTTGCGGGACCGACAGCTGAAGGAAAGGCACGGATCTGCAGGACATAACCAGAGGGCCCAGGCAGACCACAAGCGCAGCAGAGGAATGTACTCTTAGCATCCGCACTCCTTCACCCTCTCCCCGTGTAGGTCCATAGGCCCGACAACCGTCGGGTGTGGTGCAACGACGATCCCCAAACGGACGGCGTTAGAGCTCTACCGTGTTTTTGTGGGGCGGGCTGTACAGGGTGTGTTTTTGGAGGAGCTGGTATTTTTGTTTGGTAGAACTCAAGATTGCGTTTGTTTGGTAGAGCTCAAGATTGCATTTGTTTGGTAGAGCTCAAGATTGCAACAAGCACCGCATTCGTGGTCTGCAACACCGAGGGTGGTTCGTGGTTGACGTGAGCGCGAAATATTTTGGTCAGGGGGTTTTCCAAGAGCTTGGTGACATTTAATTTATGTTTTGCGACGATGATATGGTAGTGGCATTTTGCGAACATGTGGAGATCTGTTTAAAAATTTATATTAATTCTATTTGGTTGTTTTACTTTTGATCCAATATTCATTGACAGGTGTGGGTCGCATTAACGTTTTATTATGCTGCTTATAAGGTAATTAATTTATCTGTCTTGACAGAGAGGAAGATAACTCGGAATGGTTTTGGTGGTACAAACTCAAGATTGAAGTTGTTCGGCGTCCTGCACTAAGGAAAAAAAGAACTGCAGATATTATAACGAGGTAGCGAGAATGTTTCACGAGGCTTATTTTATCGCTCATACTGTAATTATTCTTTTTTTCTTTGCAAATGAATTGTCTTTCATATTTAAATCTCGCAAATATGTTGTACATACGAGAGAGTATGCTAATTATTTTCCGAATATGTGCAACCATGTACATTGTTTGGATTATCATAAAGCTATTTTTTTCCACAACCATTTCTGTGACCGACTTTTCGCTGTGAAAATATGAGTTGTCTAGAGCCACTGTATAGTGTGCTTGCTTGAGGCACAAAATAATGCAGTCCTGAAGTCTGCTATTTTTAACCCAAATCAGCACCAACATTATCAACACTGGTCACGTCCGTGCCTTCTTTGCATGTTCCTCAGAAAAAATCTTCAAGCCTTGGTTGCTAGAGTTGCCATTGAAAAAGCTATTTGAATAGATCTTGCTTTGAAAGAATGGTTCAACAAAAGTCATAAACCAATTTCACCCTTTTTATTGTGGCCCAAGCAAGTCCTGCTTGCACCACAATACTGACTTATAGTGTTCTGTAAATAGAAATAGTGTAATGAAGCATTGGTAAAAAAAAACAGCACCCTTTAGAAATATTTGCGGGGAATAGGATATTACCCACGAAAAGTTCCCAGCGAAAAACTTTGGAGCCAGTTGAACCTGTCATAGTTCGGAACTTGCTATGCCCTACATTTTTAAGCTACCTGAGACTATGGTTTTTGAACAGACTTCAGCTATCTTCAGAAGAAGTGCATCAAAAAGGTAAGCTCTTTGAGCATGTTTTTTTTTCAATGCAAAAGCATTAACTGTTTTATGGAGCGAACCGACGTTATGAGCTATGAAGCCGCGCCAAACGACACCTTCCCCTGTCCCAATGGAGCGAAGCCTGTTGTCTGTAGCACAAATCTGATGGATAGGCTTCCATTGGCTGGCACGCGTCATCCAGAAACGAGGCTTCCATTGGCTGTTGGGCGGCGTAGTTCCAAGGGACGCCACCAAAGAAGCCCTCTCCATGGTGGCGCAGCGCACGCAGCGGCTCGACCTCCGGTAAGAGGTGTGGCGGTGCGGGCCTGGCCGCACAGCCCGCTCGGGCAAACTCCGGAGAGGCTGCACAGCGAAGCTCAGCGTGGTGAGGCCACTTCACACGAGCGTGCACTCGGCCGTCCACGCCACTACGCCGCAGAGGAGCTAAGCGAGCGGAAGAATGACATTTATGCTTTCGCATTCACAACTCGTAAGAAATGCTTGGGTGTCCTCGGACATTTTAGAGCGTAGCTCTTAGGCGCCCGTTCCCGACTTAACCCTCGTGAGGGTTACGAGGGTTAATCTCATGAGGGTTACCCTCACGAGGGCTGCGAAGGTTACTAACCCTCGTAACCCTCACGAGGGTTACAAGGGTTATCAGAGTTACCCTCACGAGGGTCACGAGAGTTACACTCACGAGGGTTGCCCTCACGAAGGTCACGATGGTTACCCAGGTCACGTAACCCCCCGGGGTCACGTGACCTGGGGATGCCCCCCCGAGTTCACGTGCCCCCCGTTGACGTCATCGCCACTGATGACGTCATCAGTGACGTCACTGATGACGTCACCGGCATCAGGATTGTCATCGGCATCATCACTGATGACGTCATCAGTGACGTCACTGATGATGTCACCGGCACCCGCGTTGTCATCGTCATCATCACTGATGACGTCATCAGTGACGTCACTGACGACGTCACCGGCATCAGCGTCGTCGTCATCATCACTGATGACGTCATTGGTATCCGCATCGTGATCGTCATTGATGACGGCATTGTCACGTGACCCCCCCGACGTCACGTGACACCCTAAGGTCACGTGACTCCCACAAGGTCACGTGACCCCCGCCCCCCGAGGTCACTTGACCCACCCCCCAGTACCCTTCCCTCCTCCTCCTCAAGAGCTGCGCTCTAATTAGGCGTTACAGAAAGTTGTAAACGGCTTTCATTTTTTTTTTTCTGCACTTGAAGTTGGAGTTTGTTTTACCTTTGCAACTAGTGCCAGGAAGATGCCGTCCCAGTTAGACATTGACACAGATTGTTGCAGTACCGGCAATTGTTCTGGTGCAATATTGCCACGAAAATTGAGCAGACAAAATAGAGTGCTGGGTAAGCGCACAGATAAGGCACGTTTTGGGCATTGTAGTGCAGGTGTTCTTTGCAAGAGTGGTGACCTCTATTCGAAGAAACGTGACATTTGTTTTGAGGTGTGCTGGCAGCAAGAAATAGCCTTGTGAAGCTTGCCAGTCATTAACACCAATTGTATTGTCAGTTTTTTTGTTTTGTCTTTTTTGGACAGCAGCAGTGTGTTGTGTGGAAACATAGAAAGGGGTGGCAGGTCAGGCAAGCTTTTTCCAGTCTACAGGTTCCATGAGCCATCTTTGACTGCTGCCACCGTGACAGCGCTGCAGAGTGACACCTTGAGGTCCCCGTCGACTGGGAAGGTCCAGGCACATCCTTGAGGTCTTGTGGACAATGATCTGCGCCTAAATTCGTAATATGTGTTTCAGAGCTCGTGTTTTTTTGTTTTTTCTATTACTGTCACTGTCGTGTTTCTTTATAAAGATCACAAAAAGGTTTACAAGTGGTGTTCAAGTGAACTGATAATTGTTTTTGAGAAATAGTAGGTCAGGCAAAGTTGACAGACGTTTTGCTCTGGGAGTTGTTTTTTTGTATTGCACATAATGTTAAATTTTCTTCTAGCACTGCAAGACAACTCTTCCTTTTCACTATGTAGAAATAGTCTGCTATCGCGAAAGTTATTGGAGCTTTTAGAAAATTTGAGAGTGCAAGCTTACATTGCCATGGTTCTTTGCTGTATATTCCCAAGTGAAGTGGAATCATCTCGCAAAGCTATCGGCTTGGGCTACTGACCTTCGTAGATTGCTGAATCACATACAGATGAACTGAACTCCTCAAAATAAGGAAAGGGTAATAAGTGAGGCTTGTCATCCTCCTTATATTCCTTTATTTATGTTCATGAATTTTAATTCTTTGTACAGAACAGAGCACCAAGTGTAGGTTATGTTGGCCGGGCGTGCCTTTGCTTAACTGTCACTGTATGAACTTTTGTACTGGCACAATTGGCAGACTTGTAGAATTAAACTTAAAGAAGCGATGCAGACATTAATATCATAGTTTGCACCTCTAGCTCTATTGTGCAATGTGTGTGATTGCTTGGAAAGACAACACTGGACCATATTTGCATACATCCAAACATTGTTTTGGTCTTGCTACAAAAATGACATTTCCTCTGCTAAACCAAAGTTCTGATTGCATTTCTCATATCTGAGATTAAAGAAATGGGAATATAGCTGTTAAATGAGTGCTTGTGATCTTTGCCTATTGCCTATGCTTTGTTCTTGATGTGTGATAGTGTGACAGGAGAGGTCTCATATTCTTACTTACCTTAGGGTCATATCTCCATTTTTGTCTTTGGAGGTCGTTACAAGCAATCATGACAACATTGGTGTCTGCCTTTGATTCTGGGGAGTCTAGACAGATTGACTCGTCTGTCTTGATGAATCCCTCCTCGGTAAAAACAAAGTGCTGCAAAGAGGGGGGTGGCAATGTGCTGTCTGGACAAATAGCGGTATGGTGTTAACCTCAGAATTTACATGTTTGACGTCGGTCACAAAAATCAAGCGCTTGACCAGAGAAGGTAAAACCTAAGTTTTAATTCTGCTTCTCTAGATATTGAAAACGAAGCATTTGTCAGATTTGGCATTTAGAACTGTTCTTGCATTAACTCCTGCAGAATCTGACAGTCACATTCCCAATGTTAACATTTTCAAAGCTAGTTTGGGATTCAGAGTTACTTCTATGAATAATCAAACAGCTCTAACAATGTAGGGCTTGGTGGAAAGAATGTTCGGTCCGACAATGCGTCAATAATATATAGGGTGTTTTTTTTTTATTATTCTTACACATTTGTTTAAAAAAGTCCGTGAAAGCTACACTAATGCGGTTTGTGCCGGTGGGTTATACGACCAGGCTGACATTATGTGGGGGCTAATCTTTGCGATAAATCGGCTAATTAAGTAAAATTCGTTAATTAAATTTTAATTAGTGGAAATAGACATATAGTTTCAATTACAAACTTGTAGAGCATCGTCGAAAACCACTAAATCATCTGTTTCTGGAAGGATAGAACGCCGGGGAAGCATTTTACGGCGTTCTGTAAAAGCCTTTGATTTGGACGCGTTTCTAGATTTCAGTTTTCTATCGGAGCGCATCACCGCGCCCGCGGTCCTGCTCCCCAGTGGCTGAGACGCGCAACACACGTGCGCCGTACTTCCCTCCATTCTACGAGAGAGGCGAAGAGGTGGCTTCGCGCCGCGACCACCAGGGCGCAGGATCGCGGGCGCGTAGATGCGCTCCGATAAGAAACCGAAATCTAGAAACGCGTCCAAATGGAGCGTTTTACAGAACGCCATAAAATGCTGCCCCGGCGGTATATCCTGCTAAAAACAGTTGATTTAGGGGGTTTTGATGATGCTCAGCAAGTTTCTAATTGAAACCATATGTTTATTTTCAGTAATTAAAAAGTTAATTAACGAATTTTAATTAATTAACCGACTTATCGCAAAGATTAGCCACCCACATAATGTCCACCTTGCCGTATAACCCACCTGCACAAACAGCATTAGTGTAGCTTTCACAGTTTTTTTTTTAAACAAATGTGTAAGAATAAAAAAAAAACACCCTGTATATTAGTCAGTCTGCCCAAAGGAAGATATCCTAAATAACGAAAGCTGGAAATATTGTTAGCACCTTGTTCATACACAAGCATTTAGGCAAGTTGACATCAGAAGATGTCTTTTACCATTGTACTTCATACCTGCATTGCATAGTATGTTAATGCACATTCCTCCAGGACCACTCTCCCCACTGGCTGGTGATAATTCTTGGAACTTGGCCTCACAAAGCACTTCCCACTCTTTTTATTTCTCACCTGCAATAATCACAATTGTCATATAGTCTGAAGGTTTTGGTTGTAATGTACACCTTGTGAATTTTGCTGTTCATTAGCAAAATCGTATATTTTGTCTAAAAGAGGTTGACAAAGTACTTTTTTTATCATGGTCACCAATTTTTCGTTTAATGCAGAATTTTGGAGTTTGTTGTAAACTCTTGTTGAATGGTAGAATCTGTAGATTCTGTCTATGTTGCACAATATGTTTTCCTCTTTCTGTTATGACCAAAGGCTAAGCTTTGCTTAAGGTGTTGTCATATTAGAGTGTCTAGTTATGCCTGTATTTTTTATCATTGAATTAAGTGTTTAATTACCACAGTGTCATGATTGGTTTACTATGTTAAGTGATTAAAGGCAGCATGTTTGAAGCGGCTCACCTTGCCAAAGAATCTGTTATCGTTGGGTAGAAAATTCTCTGGCCATATGTGTTTGAGGTACCACTTAAAACTCTTGCACTGAAGCTTTTCGCGAAGCTTCTTTCGGGCAGTGACATCTTGCAGCATGTGCCTCTTCTTCACATCTGTTTGGAAAAAGTTTCGATTTTTCTTAACTTGAATTTTTCCCACAGCAATCCCTTCATGAGAACAAAAGAACATGTGACATCATGTTCCGCTTCTATTTGCCCAGTGGTTCTCAAACTTTTTTATCACAAGGAACGCCTGTTTCTCTCGATTGACAGCTGAGGAGCATTTTTCGCGGTATTGGCATTCATGCAATAAAGCGGCAAAAAAGAGTACAGACTGGGGGGTGTTAACAGTAACGCACATGATAGAGCTTGTTGGTCACATAGGGTATCTAACTATACATCAATGACTGATCTGGTCGCCTTAATGTTAAGCTCGAAGACCACTGTACTTTTGGGGAAGGAACGACCAAGGACATTTGGGAGCTCGAGGAGCCCTTGAGGGTAGCTTACAGCATGGTTTCTCAGACTGGGTTCCTCCAAGTACCCTCAGATGTTCCTCGAACTCCACAATATCTTTGACTGCTCCTCTTTCAAAGTAATGTGAAATGCTTCTTAACGGAACTGGCCCCAATCCCAATTTTGCCCGTTTGTCCGTCCATCCGTGCATTTCCTGCTAAATTTAGTGGGTGAACTGAATCGGTATTTAAGTCCCATGACATCAGTTGATGTCACGTGGCTTGACATCACGTGACCCATACACCAACTCACTCTCCCCGCTAAATCTAGCAGGAAATTCAATGTCGCGTGATCTGACGTTACGAGACTACAACAATCTAGTTCCCCTCTAAATTAGGCTGAAGAATTTACGTCACGTGACGTGATGTCACGCGGCCCAAACGCCAATTGAGTTTCCCTCTAAACGGGGAAATTGGCCTCACGTGACCTTATGTCAAGTAACATATGTCAATTCAGTTTCCCCGCTAAATATAGCGGGAAAATTGACGCTACATGACCTACGCACCCCAGTTTCCTTGCTTAATGTAACGGGGAAATTGATAAAAATAAAGGTTTTTCTGCACTCAAAACAACAATTTAATATCTCCTGAATGATTCTCAACGATCGCACTTTATTTCCCAGGCAAAGGAAATAAACAGACTTAATTGAGAAAAAAATGTCATAAAACGAATTTACAATGAAAAAAATTGCGCGAAATGAATTTGTAGTTGGCGCCCGTGGCCGCTAAAGTCACGTGACTGGCCGCTATAGTCACGTGGTGCTTGCGCTCTTCCGGGAGTTTTCTGTGGGCTCCAAAAGTTACCTATTAATGCGAAAGCATTTACTGTCCCATGGAGTGAAGCCGGAAAACGGCACATAAGTTCCTATTGGCTGCGACGCGTCATGTGGCTCCATAGCAACGGTGTCATCGTTGCTAAGGAGCCAGCTGAACTGCTGGCGGCGTAACGCAAAGCGTTAAAGAGACTGGTGGAAGAAATTGGAAACTTTTTAGTAGAAGGAATAGACACAGAAAGGGAAAGGTTCCTTCTACTAAAAAATTTCCAATTTCTTCCACCACAGTCTCGGGTGTTATAAGACAGGATTAGCTATCACCAGCTCGCCTGCACACTCACTGTCTTTTCGCTTACTGTAGAAACACGTCAAAAATTTCTCGGAAGAGTGTCTACATCCTACGCGCGGGGATGTAGACAAGTCTGGAGGAGATAAGGCTCCATTCACTACCTCACTTCCGGTCTGGATGTACTGCCCTCCACCCTCCAGTTGTTGATTCAACAACTGGAGTGCACTTGCCTCTTCATTGCAGAGACTGTTTGTGCCAGCCCAACTTTCAAAATACCACGATCGTGGGGAGGGCTCGTGAACAGCTGCGAGGGAAGTGCTTGAAGCGCATGCTATAAAGAAAGAGGGCACTGAAGGCTGCGTGAGCCAGCCGTCAATTTTTCTGCATCAAAAGAGTGATTTTATTGACGCGTGGTGATGAGTGACGCCACCGAGCGATTCAGTGTATTTTAATCGGAGGTTGTTTGCTTCAGCTGTTTTTAAATAAATGTTCAGTTGATAGTAAGCGCTCGTCCTGTTCGCGGCTCGCCTTCCTTTTATGTCTCCGTCTTTGTTAGCGCTTTTAAATTTTATATATATAAAAAAAAAAACAATAACTGCGCGATGCGTGTTACATAAGCTTGCGACTGATCACGAATAAACTCCAGAATAACAGGATGATGCAACCGCAAGCCTTTCAACTCGCATGGCCACGAACACAGACTTATCTTTCTTAACAAGGTGACTGCGAGCGCATCACCGAAACACACAAAAAACGTACAAGGAACTAATCCACTCTCACTTTTAATAATTAATGGTACCCCTCGGTCTTTTGTTCTTAGTCAGAGCATTAAAATAAAGAATTTATTAGCGCGTGATAAAGAAACAGCAGTCGCATTCAACTCACGACCTCGTTACCACACAACGAAGCTCGTACCGGGGCGACATAAACGAACTGGGAGCATCCATCAAGATGGCGTCTTCTGCCCAGTGTATCCAGCCGGATCGAGCTTTTTATTTCACTGTTGTCAAACTTTTTGAAAGGGGTCTTCCTGTCGGAACGCTTTTCAATGACTTTCTCACCACGGTTCATGTTGAAGTAGAATGCAGCCCACTCGTCCATCCAGACGGCGGCGACTCGTGCCAGATTTGAGAAAAGGACGCTTCCGACACCTCCGGGGTTCGGAAATGTGTAAGGCGACGTACGGCGGAACAGGTGACCCACGTGGGAGCACGGCACCACCTCGACGGAACCTCCGCACTGCCAGATCTGCCAAAGAAACGGTTGGCCCATGAGCCAGAGTGACAACCAACGCAAAGGCTTTGGTGAGCATGCACTGTGATGACTGCTTCTTAGACACGTGCGAACGGTGGATTTTGCGAGTTTGAAGCGAATATAGCGATTTTGACCTGATATTTTCTAATCTGATATTGAATACTTCTTCCAGGCTTTTCACTACCGTGCACGAAAATTCAGCTGAACTTGTGAAGGTTGTTTCCAACCTTCCACTTCTAAGCTCAGTTAACTTTAATGTAACTATATGAATAGGGTTCTTCGTTTCCGGGTTTTATACTGTTCAAAAATAAGGAATAAAAAATCGTTTGCTATTTTCCAGGCCCATAATCGGGAAAAAATCCGTTTTTTTTTTTTGTTTTGTTTATTTTTCTCACAAACCAGTCCGGAATTTGGGTTTTATTTGGTCCTAGCGTCGACAAAGTCTATGATAGGAATGATTCTCGAGAGCGCATAATCTTTTCACCTTCTGGCCCATTCTGAAGCGAATCTATGCCGAGGTTACGTGAGTCGAAGAAGATCTTGACATTCAAACGAGTGACCGAGGAAATACATTTCAGAGATCCAGAATCGTTTCTATTTTCCGTAAATACAGCTGATTTCAAAGCTGGTTTTCGAAGAAAATTGGGTTGAACTTGATTTTTATAAAACCGAATCGGGGGACAAAAAATGGGGTAATATCAGCTTTTTACTCAAAAACGAAGAACCCTATAAATGAACTGTGGCATGTAAACAACATGTTTGTCGCAGCTATCCAAATCGAGGGGATTTATTAATGTGCTCGCTATATGGAAATATTGGACAAAACGTTAGGGCGCGAACGAGCTGGTGAAGGTTTGACATGATTTAAGACAAACCCGCGAGACTGGGGAAACGACGAAAGACAACACAGTAAGCAGTCTCAAACGCAGCTGTGTTTGAGACTGTATGTTGTGTTGCCCTCCTTCGTCGTTTCTCCAGTCTCGGGGGTTTGTCTTAGCTTATGCAAATATTTTATCTTACATTTCGAATTTGATAAAAAAAAATTAAAAAAATATGATTGATAAACACGGGCTTCTCAAGACATCGCTGCCTAACTCTCGCATAACCGCAGCAGGTTAGCCGCATTGAGTGAGCTTCTCACCGAGCGCCTGCGCACTGCAGGGAAGCAATGCCCGGGAGCTCCGTGGGTGTTGCTTCCCCGTAGTGCGCAGGTGCTCGGTGAGAAGTGCGCTCGAGAGGCTTTAATCTTCCATGATCAACACTTAGAAAAAGTATAAATATTGCAGCTCACCTCACAGCGAAAATCGAACAGCCTATTATTCTAAACTATTATTCGAATATTTGCACAATGCTACAACTGCGGTAAAGCCACCAATTTGTTCTTTAACAAGAACTGATCAACCTTGTTGTGTTTAAGGAGGCTTAAATATGTGAATGTTTCGTCGCAAAACATTAACTTTTTGTAGTTAATTTCGATACTTGTCTGGCTCACAACATGGCGGCAGGAAGCTAGTCATCATGGGGCTTTATCTTATTGCCTTCGTTGCACATCATATTTTGTTGCAACATAAGATCAACAGTTGATGCTCTGCCTCCAGCATGCGCTGGTTGCTTCGCCCGTTTTGCTTCCCATGCGCCGCAGTGGTATGAAAAGTGGAAAGCTTGCTGGGGGAGATGGAGGATGTATGGCTGATCTTGCAACAGCGTATAGTATTTTTTTGTTTGAAATATATGTGGGTCATTGAGGATCACCCAGGTCCATCTTCCATCCGATTAGTAAAAAAAATGCTTTAAAGGGACACTGACAGGGTATTCATGCCCGCAAGGTTTTCATTTGTACATGACACATGAGAGCCCAACTACACGGAACATAATTTGCGGCTCGAAATTTATTTTCTTTCCGCTCGAAAACCGTCGATCGAGGACTGGCCGGTTTGAGTCGCACTCACTCTCTTCTCCGAGGTCACGTGCCATTTTCAATGGTTTAGGTACAAGACAACCACCAAATATAATCAAAGCCGTAGGCCATAAAAGGCACACACTCAATATTAAAAATGAAAAAAAAAATATGATATCCATTTGTTGCGGTTCCTAAAAAGTTGCAATTACGTTAATTAAAAAAAGAAAAAAGTTGTACAGCTACGCGATTTTTGGCCACCGCTCTCCTCTATATTTCTTCTTCCTCACGAGTTCAGTTTCGGTTTCGGTTTCGAGCATTTGCATTTTTTTTTTTTACTTTATTAAAAATATATGTGACGCTGTAGCAAAATATTTAGTGGGTAGTCTTCTGACACCATTATAAATCGCCTGGCAAAAAAAAATGGGGGGGTGTCAGTGTCCCTTTAAGTAAGGTTTATAACGTTCCCACATCTCAAGTGTGCTTGGTACGTGTGGCACATACCCTAAACGATATCTCCATGTTCTCCCCTCCCCAGATATCCATCTGGTCGTCGTAGGCCCCCATTTCATAGAAGTAGCCCCTGTCTATCGAGAACAGGCCGCCAGCCATCACCGGGGTTCTGCAACAAAGCACTTGTCAAAGCTTTTGCACTCCTGTTGTCACTTTATTACATATAGGTGGTATCATTCCAGATAGCATATCGAAGTTCACGCGTGGTCTTGTGCAAGTCCACGGGACATCACGACATCCTATAGATCCTGTCTCGTGTTGGGGATTGTAGCTGCCATTAGCAACTCTGCCTATAACTAGGGTTCCGTGTTTTCAGGTAAATCCGATGAACTCCGAAAGACACCCGCCAGTTAAATTTTTGACATTTTGGATTTATCCGAAAACTTTCGAATTCCAAGGTCATGCTGATAAAATGAAAAGCCGGAAAAGACAATATTTTACGAGTAAAGTTTGTCACTGCACAGTGTTGGTCCTAAAAAAAACTTATCCAGTTTTTTTTTAATCTGATTATTGACAAAAGGGAATTTCCCATTTATATCGTCAGGGTTTAGTCATGACAATGGGCCGATGTACTTTTTCTGGACCCCGAAAAAAGCTTCTGTTCCAGTTTCCAGTTTGAACCATACTATTGTGCTTGTTAGAGGGAAGAGAGGTTGTGTTTTTATAGCAGTGAAAGATGTGAGCCTGTTGATTTCATGGACGGGGAGGAAAGCTGAAGGTTTTATGCAACCAGGGGTTTGGCTCTTTCAAACTACCAAGGTTTATTGCATAACACTTGTTTTCAAGAGTTGTCGCGGGACACTTAGTAGTGTTGATTGAAAGGGTGTCAATGTCACATGCAGCTGCAAAATATTTTTCAATACCAGTGATTTTTTAAAATAAATTTAGTGTATGTTTTTGTTCACACATTATTTTTATTTTCAAAGAAAATAAGAACAGAGTAAAATTAGGCTCCGAACTTCGGAGAATTGGGAATCTAACAAAAATAAATTCAGATTTTTGAGTGAAAAATAAATTCCAAAAGCACGGAATCCTACCTATACATGCCTTGCGCCTGACGTCACGCCGCGATGCCCCGCCCCCGATCGCCATTGCTCCGTACCAACGGAGGACCGGAGAACCTACAAAACGTAGTCGACGGCGTGTTTCGTCCGACCGTGACGCGTTTACGCAGTTTGAGAGCGTAGCGCCTTTTGTTTTTTGTGTGTGTTTGTTGTTCTTCGCACAATTTGTAAACAAATCGTTTTAATCTATTTTTACCAGCGCCTACGGGCTAAATATGCCGTCGCCGGAGGAGCGGACGTTGCCGCTCTGCGGAGATTACTAGGACGAGCTCGTTGGGCCTACGAGAGCGAGATACGCGAAGAAGATGGAACTTTGCGACGGCGAGGATCTCTACAAACTTCGCGTCGGCGTGGACACAACATTCGACGCCGCCTTTTTCCCTAACGTAGCTCGCTCAGCCTCGAGCGCTGCGACTCGAGGCTGAGCGATCTCCTTCGTCCGTGTAACCGAGCTTCAAACTCGGCGCCCAGTCAGGGTTCGTGTCATCGAACAACTTAGAAGGAGCTCCAGTAAAGCAAAGAAAACACGCCATTCGCTGACGCGCTCACGTTCGCGAAACTCGGCGCAGCAGACAATGCTGCGCCGAGTTTTACATTCGATTTTGCGACAGCAATGGGGTGAACGCGTCCCGAAAACGGAGAACGACAAGAAGCATTTCCTACCTGTAACAAAGTGCTCGCTGCACACCTGTGTGTTCACGTTCGCGACCAGGTCGGCCCTGTTAATCTTCACAAACCACATGCTCCTTAGCTTCTTTGACAGTTCGTGTGTCCGCCGACACTGAGCGGGGATCACCTTCGGTAGTTTGAAAAATCTCGCTTCACTGACGGTGTTACGATCACGGCGCTTGTTGCTCTTAGTCCTGTTTGCACAATTAATAGGGAATTGTAGTAGACCGTTTCCGAAGCCCGCTAAGCACCCGGATAGCGCTCCGTAATCCGCCACAAGACCTTGAACTATGCAGACAAGGCTGGCGGCGCGCATGCGCAGCTGCGGCGTTTTCTTCGGGGATAGCGTAGCGGAGGAGAAAAACGATCTACTACAACTCCCTAATAACCGCACACGCAACCATTCTACGTAGCAAAACCTTCGCTCAGCGAGGCAAACTGACGGCAACTCCAGGGAACTTCCTATGCAGCGATGACGATTTGGTACGGCGTTATGGCGACGGCCCTCCCAGCATGCAATTTTAATGACGTAGGTGCAAGGCATGTATAATCTTGTATGCTGGGGTTTGCAAGACGTTGACCAACCTGAAAGGAGCAGTTGCATTCCCGCTTCTTCGTTTGTGTTCTCTCTCTCCCACGGGGAACCAGCGGAAGTGAAGCTCCCAGTTAAATGCTCCCCAGTGCATCTCGAAACTCCGGACGTAGGCAAAGGTTTCATCATTGATGATGTCGATGACAGGACAGACAACTCTCGTCCTAAGTAAGCAGAAAGCTTGATATCATTCGTGCTTAATAGGCTTTCAACTGATTCAAAAAGATGCCACAATAACGTGAGAACATTTCTTCTCTGACAAGTAACATACGAATTCAACTTTTGAAAATTATGCACAAACTATTTATATATGCAAACCAAGCGTATGTGCCACCACTAATAATATATTTGGCCTGGCAAACTTGAACCAAAGAGTCGGGTGGTATTGGCGACCAGCTTTTAGAGCGCAGCTCTTAGGCGCCCGTTCCCGGCTTGAGCGGCGTCGGCGTCGCCGTCGGCGTAACCGCAACCCTCGTAACCCTCGTGAGGGTTACAAGGGTTACGAGGGTTAATCTCATGAGGGTTACCCTCACGAGGATCACGAGGGCTACGAGGGTTAATTACCCTCAAAAGGGTTACCTTCACGAGGGTTACCCTCACGAGGGTCACGAGAGTTACCCTCACGAGGGTCACGAGAGTTGCCCTCACAAAGGTTACTAGGGTTACCCTCACGAGGGTCACGATGGTTACCCAGGTCACGTGACCCCGTTGACGTCATCGCCACTGATGACGTCATCAGTGACGTTACCGATGACGTCACCGGCATCCGCATCGTCATCATCACTGCTGGCGTCATCAGTGACGTCACTGATGACGTCATCGGCATCGGCATGTGGCCCCAGGTCACGTAACCCCCCGACGTCACGTGACGCCCCAAGTCACGTGACTCTCACAAGGTCACGTGACCCCCCCCCCCCCCCCCGCGGTCACTTGACCCACCCCCAGTACCCTTCCCTTCTCCTCCCCAAGAGCTGCGCTCTAATTCGGCGTTACAGGGAGTTGTAAACGGCTTTCATTTTTTTCATTATTTAGTTACTAAGCCTCTGTTCTGTCTCGTATACCATCATCAGTGTGTAAACGTAATTTTTGAAACACCCACATGAAAGCTAGCCAGGAATTAAGTATGAAGCATGAAAGGTGTTTAAATGTTTTTGAAAGTCAACTGAACTGTGAAGGTCTCTTATTGCAACTACAAGGTGCTATAAAGGGGAAGACTCCTCTCTGTTTATGCCATACCACTGGTTTCTAACCATATAATGAATATTGTAAGAAGATCCGATGTGCTTATTCAGTGTTTAAGTCTCCTGATGGTGCTTTCCTGTATTTATCTAAAGATACTTGTAAAAGCATCTTTCAGAGAAACATTGCAAACGCGTTGTTACAAAGCGTTGCTGCGACGAAGCCGTTCTCACCTGTCTTCTGCTATCCTGGCTAGGAGGGGCTCTAGCCAGCCCCTGGTACACTCGCAGTGAGCATCGAGGAATGTCAGTACTTTCCCCTTAGCCTGTGCCGCCCCAAGCAGCCGTGCCCTGATGAGTCCGGTCCGGTTGTGTGCCCTCACTACCTTAGTTGGCACAGGCAGCTTGGAAACATACTCATCGAGTGGTGCTTTCAGGAAGGCTGCATGCAAGAGTAAATGTCGCAAAGGTCACATTGCAGGCTCCTTGGCAGAGTGAACATATGCCATTGGCGCATCTGCAAATTATTTACTGTCCAACAACAAATTTTGGTATTCCATGCTAGTGCTTTATATAAACATTCATATGCATTTGCAGTTCTGATTACAGCTTTTCAACCGGGAGAGAGAAACAAGGAAATGCAGCAGTCACGTGTTTTTGCTCTAATTCGTCTGTATGTGTTACCACACGAAACATTGGCCAACATACATAAACCAAATATTATGAGGTTGTTTTTTTTTTTTTGTTTTTTTTTTCTTCAAGGGGGAGGAGTTTTAGACCAAGGGGTGGAAGGGGGAGAAGTACAAGGTACCCCACATTGTGGATTGCCTTGGGATCTGAAGTTTGCAATAAAGAAACTGTGTCCTCTCTACCACTGACAAATACAGATAGGAGGGAACGATTTTGATGAAACACTGCACTTGCGAAAATCTTTCTTTAGCTTGCAGGGTAAGAAACCAATGTAAAATGCATTAAAAAAACACGAGTGTAGTAACGCAATATCTACGCTGCGACATTCATTTTAAGTTCTGAACAATTTTGTCTGTTCGCGCGCGCCCGCTCTACGTCGCAGTTGCAACAAAATTGAAGTCATTTTGAGGGCCTTCTATTTGTTGGAAGGAACGCAGAGGAGATACGCGTATTCTGACAGCCACCACGTATCTCTCCGCGCGCGAATAGCGCGAAGCCTTGGCCCGTTTATGAAGATCTTGAAGCCTGTTGTTTTTTCGCAATTCTAATGATTGCTTTCAAAACAATTCCGACATGACACATTAAATTATCTATTAACCGATTTAAGTTAATTATCCGGGTGGTTGTGATGGCTATTCCCTCATCTAAACACGCAGTGCCTATCAGCTTACATCAACGAACTCCGTTTTTCTTTTTTAATATGCTCAAATTACAATGGCCATACACTGGCCAAGCTTTTTGTGTGCAATGCGTAGCGCATTGCAGAAAAATGGTAATCAAGTGCACAGAGTTACGAATAACTAAATGTTTACTTAGGTCTGCAGAATTAAACTTTTATTTTTTTAATATGACGATATTGTTTCACTTAGTGACTTGCTGGGAAGCACTGAAAACCACTCAGTCGTACAATTTTAGAAAGATTTCAGGCGCGTGGAGCGTTTTATGACGTTTCGACGAAATCGCCGATTGGCTGATGCAAGATCGAGGTTTCGGTTTGCGACCAGCCCGCATCTTTTGGCACGCTCCCTTACCCCCGAAAGAATAATTTCTTTATATCATTTAACATGGCATTTCTAAAGAAAATAACATAACATTTTTAATGAAAACGCACCATGATAGAAAGAAATGGGTGCTTCACCAATGACTGAGAACATTTTTAAAGAAAACAATTATTCTTTCAAAACTCATAGCAGAGAAGGAACTGTGGCACGAACCGGCAAAACGATGTGCTGTTCTAATGATATTGCAGGAATAAACTTTGATTGCAGGGCTCACTCCTGTCTTGCGAAGAGTGCGTGGCGTCACACATTGGCGCTTTGGCTACGTACGAGCAGGACCGTTGGCATTGCGATGCGTTTTCGATAGGAAACCGAAACTTAAAAACGAGTACAAATTTTTCGGCGGGCCTTATATTTTTGTGAAGTGCACTAATTTAGTGGTTCTCGAGCGTGTCAAGAAATTTTCTAACTAAAATCATGCCTATAACTTTACTGATTCAAAAGTTAAATATTATATCGAACGTTATTAATCTTCCTAAATTGACCCTTTGGCAGATACCGATATATGACTCCAACTCTTTTCTATGTGATGCGTCTTTTCGTAGGAGCGATTTGGCCAGTGTTCCGTGTAGCAGTGTGCATATGCAAGGTGTTTTTCTTTTCTTTTTTAGGCTTTACAGATTTGTTTTAAAAAGATCTGTGAAAGATACACTAGCGTGGTCTATGCAGGTGAGTTATACGGGGACATAATATAAGGATCTAATCGTCTCGATATAAGTTGGATAATTGTGCTTACAGTCTGGTAATTAACTTTTTAATTGGTGAAGAGAAACATTGTCCCAATCGGAAACTCGCTAAGCGTCAACAAAAACAAGTCTGTAAATAAAAATGAAAAAGCAGCTTTGAACATGCGTGGGGAGCGCGATAGTACGCTAAAGCTGCAATTTGTGCAACAGGTGCACGGCTGGCCGCGCGAAAACGATGACGAGCCTGTTCGCACTTCCAGCCTTGTCGCACGAATGGAAACTTCAGCTCACTTAAAAATAGCTGGAAGTATCTCCCTGTATACTAAAGATATGTAGCGTTTTCTGTAAGAAGTACGAATATGGCGCTGTAAACTTACTTCGTTCGCTAGCGTCATCCACGAGCAGTATTTCTCGCAGGAGGTGGCGCGGCGAGCGATTGATGGCCGAGTGCACGGTCCTCAGCAGAGTGGACCAAGCTTCGTTGTGAAAGACAATGATTATGCTTGTATCTGGATAGCCCTCCGTGTTGTACTTCAACTTCTTGCAGCTATCACCAGAAAGAGAGAGTTTTTTTTATGAGGACAGATTCTAGAATAAATGACAAAAGCACTAGGGCGATCTCACTACACTCCATCTCACAAACATCTGCAGTGCAGACAAAGGCATGGGCACGTGCGCGTGGCTTTGCCGTGCGCTCGTGAGCGGATTTACAAATCTTGCTATACAGAAAGATTCTTTCTTCAACCTCGATTTTGATAGAAAACAATGAACCACGAATGATGAATGCAAGTTGTCAAGGCGTCTCTGCCTAACAGTTACTCGTGCATAACAGCCACAATTTTATTTTGAAAAAAAAAAAAAAGAAATTACTGCAATGTAGATATCAACATTTACACTTTCCGTTTTTTTTTATATGCACCAGGCTCGCGCGTGCACCATCCTCTTTTGAAAGTATGCTTTTCTCCCGAGAATGCAATGGACAATGTCCAAAACCGAGGCGCCCCTAGCGGCTCAGGTGTAGGGGCATGACGCAGGTATTTCTGGGGGAGGGGGGGGGGGAAGTCAGGTGTGGGTCAGCGTATCACATGTTTAAACCACCCCCCCCCCCCCCTCCCCGCCCCGCCCACCCTGTTTCCACGCCCTAAAATTTTACACATACAGAATTCGAGAATGGGGTCAGGAAATCCGGACCCCCCCCCCCCCCCCTCTCCCTCTGAATCCACCCCTGCTCAGGTGCATTCTGGAAAACCTTTGTCAACGAGGATTTTAGTATCGGTTCCCTCCGTCAGACCGTGGCCAGCCGCAATCGGACACCGCGAACCTGCACTATACCCCTCAACGCAGCGCATACCTCGCCAAGTCTTTGCAGGTTCACTATCCTGTGCATGTCATGCAGTATAGCATACTTCTCGTGACTTTATCAGGCGGTAACTAATTCAAGGCGAAGGCAAGTTTCGGAAAGCAGAAGACGGAGCAAGCTTGTGGTCAAATGAATCGGTTTAATGAAAGTGAAAAATTAAAATAGCTTAGGAACGAAGGATGAAACATGACATAATGACATTATGAAAGCCCGATGCTGATCTTGATCCTGGTCCTGCTTGAAGTCCATCGAAGTCGAAAGCAAACACCCACAAGGAGTCGGTGCGTAGAGCAGTGTACGCCGATTTACATTGCGTTTAGTGTCGCTGAAGCAACGTGGCTTGCATTTGTCTTGAATCAGTTACCATCTGACAAAGTCACAAGAAGTATGCTTACTGCATGACATGCACACGTAGATCAGCCTACGAAGACTGGGCGAGGTACGCTGCGTTGAGAGGCGTGCTGTAGGTTCGCCGTGTCCGCTTGCGGCTGTCCGCAAACGGACACCTCCATCTTCCAATTGATGAAAATAATCCCTGGAGAAGGATTTAGTTTCGGTTTCCTCCATCGCACCTCCACCTCCATTTTTCGACGAAGGATTTGGTTTCGGTTTCCTCCATCGGACCTCAACCTCTATTTGTCGACGAAGGATGTAGTTTCGGTTTTCTCCACCGGACCGCGGCTGGCAGCGGTCCGATGGAGGAAAGCGAAACTAAATCCTTCGTCGAAAAATGTTTCCCAGAATGCACCTGAGTCGCTAGGGGCACCTCGGTTTTGCGTATTGATTGTCCATTGCAATGATCACAGTTTTTCGAGAGTTAATCGCGGCGTTTTACCCCGTTGAGCGCGCTTCTTACCGAGCATGGGTGCGCCGCGGAGAAGCAACAACCGCGGATCTGACTTTCGTGGGTATTGCTTCTCCGCAGTGCACCTGTGCTCGATAAGAAGCACGCTCAACGGGGCTAGTCGTGGGAAATAGTTGGTACATCGTTTGTTTTGACAAAAGCGCCAAAAGACAAGGACATGGAGAAAGTAAGAGAAACAACACAAGCGTTTTATTGACGTCAGGGGAACTGCAATTTCTGGATTTAAGATTATATTTTCAAGAAGAGTCCGTGTGCTGGGGGAGTATAGATCACGTTCAAAGAAATGGGTATTGCTAGGGTGCCTCAATGTCCTTCTGTTTAGGGTGATGCCACCCTTTGAAGTACCCGATGCCGACAGCACGCGCTCACGGGAGAAATACAAAGAAATCGACTAAAACAAAATGTCGCCATGGCACAGTCAACGCTACAAACGCGTGCAGGGACGCGCTCTTTCACGCGCTTCTGAACAAAACAGAATAATAAAAGTGCGGGACAAAATGGCCAGATGTCTCCACTCTACGCAAAGCGCACATGAAGGCACCCTAGGTATTGCCCTTCAATTCGGCCCACTCTAGGTTGATAAAAAAAAAAATCGGGTCGCTTCCTCCCTAATGAACGCATTCCTTGCCAAATCGTGCCAACACACCATGAACAGTAGCTTTTTCAACCAGGCGCTTGAGATTGTCGGGCTACCCTGATCGTTTTCTTCAGAGGGTGGCCGAAACACTTGTTTCTCAAATTAAGAGGAAAAATAATGATGAGGAAGCATACACTCAGGTCCAGGAAGAAAGTGAGACCCGTCGTCATACCCTATGTACACAAAATTTTAACACTACTTAAAAAAGGTTGCGTCGCATTTTGGTGTGCCAGTAGTGTTTTCGGCTGCAGAAAAGCTGTCTGGCCTTTGCCGAAAAATCAACAACAAAAAGGGGAGGGTGACGTGTGCAAAAAGAAACGCTCAAAGCAGTTCGTAGACTGTGCCTTCTCGGTCGTGCATGAAATTCCCACGACTTGCGTTAAAGGGGCGATGCAACAATTTGCGGACTTTGGCTAATTAATTGCGGGAATTGATCCCGACCACATATAAAACGAAGGACCGAAAACTATTCTTTCCTGCCTGCCCTAGTTTTCATTAAAAAAATAAAAGAAATTGGTATCTCTGGCACCCCTCAACTCAACATTGAAGCGGCACCAGCTTCGCCTGTGACGTCATTCGGAGTGGCGTTGGTTTCCGGTTGGGTTCTTCTGGCTCCCGTTTCCCCAGCGCTCGCCGGCTCGCCAGGCCTCACCGCTCTCCCGCTCTCCCGCCGATTCCCGACCAACATGGCGGCATGGGCGGACGGCCTGAGCGACTTCGAGCGCAAGATGCTTGCGACGCGGCGGGCAGTCGAAGTCGAAGTCGAGGTCGAGACACCAGGAACAATAACGATACCACGACCAACGCACTCCGTCGAGCGAGGGAAAGACAAAACGTCCGGGTTGCTCGTGTAGCCGCCGTAGGCGCCTCGGGCGTCGACGGATATGTCGGCGACGGCAGGTTTTGTTGACTTGCGGTAGATGGCGCCACAAATAATTCATACCCTTTTAGCGGCAATATTAGGCTTTTGAAGCGTTTCTGCATGCCTAAACAACAAGATTTTTTAAACTTTACCTTAAATCAAGCTTACAATTGCCTAACACTATCACTTACAAAAACCACTCCGAATGACGTCACACCACAGGTTCTATTTGCGGCCACCATGTGGCCGCAGACTGGGAAAAAAAAACGTTTTTTTTTATTTTACGATTACGGAGCGAAATAGAGGTATTTTGGGGTATGGTGGCACTTTTTCTCTTACTTATGCCGAAGTAAACAATATAAAAAATACAAGCTGCACATTCGTTCAGTGTTAAAATCGGCAATGCGTAATTTATTTTTGCGATGAAACAAAGAAAAAAACTTTCAGCCTTTTTACTTTGGTGAAGGAGGGAGAGCAACGGAGCTGTACTATGTGCCCCCATCTATGAGCGACGGCGGCAACCAGACAACAGGCAAGCCAATCGTCTGGTTGCCGCCTTCGCTCATAGATGGCGGTCGGTAGCTGTCCAGAGGGTTGTGTCGAGATTTATTTGTCCACGGACACGAAACTGGGAAAATTAGCCCTAAACAACACCGCTGCAAAAAAAAAGTGTAGATTTTTTTTTTGGAGGACATTATTGTAGGTTATTCTAAAAAAAATTAATAGAACTACGGGAACCGTGAGGGCGGCGGAGAAAAGCTCACTGGAGAATAGCTCACCGGAGAAAAGCTCACCGGACAACCGGCAGATGAAGAGAAAAACCCACCGATTTCTTTTTTTTTTCTTCGTAGATTAGCGGATTGTGCGCCACACGTGGCAATTTAACACAATTAGAATTCGTCGTATTATTGCCGCGCAAGCAGCTGACCAAGCAGTCAGCGCGCTCGTGGCCTAACGGTTATCGGGCTTGCCTCCTACGCAAGGTTCGATTCTTGGCCGCGGATACACATTGTTGTTGACTCTATAATGTGATGTTCTGGTAAATTCGAATACCGTGTTTTTGATTTTAGGTTAGAAAGTTCTATGCGCAAGCCTTCTACGTCGATTATTCCAGAAGCCCACGCGTGTACAAAAGGGGCTTTTCGTAGCAAGCCGGAGTCAGTCTCGCCCCAGCGTTCGACCCTGCTGTTACGCCGACTTCGACGCTCGCGTCGCTCCGTTATTATTTTCTGTTTCCTTTTTGTTTTGGGCACAAGTTCGCCGCACTAAACATTTCAGTTTGCTCAGTTATTCTTTGTTCGTCACCTCGTCATTCGTGACATTATTAAAAATAATTGTCCTTTTTTTAATATTCTTGAAGTTTATTGGGCATATTTACTAATTCCTCAGAAATTATTAATCACCCATTATGCATATTAATGACGCCGCAAGTATAAAATCAGAACATGGGACACCCGCAAAAAAAGACAACAATAATAGGGAGTTTTAGAATAACGTACGTAATTTTAGCGAACGCTAGCGCTAAATTTAGGGCTTGTATTAGCGCACGCGACGCGAGAGAGTTTTAGAATAGCGTTTCTCCGTCGCGACGCAAAAGCCCAAGCATCTCGCGCTTGCAACGCCACCATGCACAGTTCACAATTTTTATTCAACACACAAAATGCTGTAACTTTAGAAAAAAAAAGTTTTTTGGTCCAGAGTACCATTTTAGATTTGTTTAAACATGAGAATGCGACGCGAGCGGTTGACCGGTCGTGTCCGCTTGCGTCGCCTCGGCAAGAGAGGTCTTGTGTACTGACCTTCGCACATCGTACCTTCGCCGAGAAATGTTCGCGCGTCGCAAGTATCAAGCTGTCGGTGACCGTTGCCAAACCGAGTACAATATCGTCCCGTATTGAAAATCGCGGTCGCGAGGATGCCGCCGACGTCGCACTCACGACACCGCCAAAGCAGCCGCCGACATAACCCTGGGAGCCGCCATTTTTTTAACTCTGCTCGTCTTGGCTTAAGCCAACTTCTCATCACGAATTCTCCTTGGAGAAGTGCAAAGACTCTTTGCGTACGCACGCTATTTCCGAGAAATAGCGCACGCTAAAATTTCGCACGCAAAGCGCGAAACTTGGTTTGCGTTCGGAGCATGCGCAGTGGCGACGACGCTATTCTTTGTGCACGCAAAGCTTTGGCGTGCGCTATTCTAAAACTCCCTGTATATTGACAGCTTGACAGTGCCCTGTCGGTAGCTCTGTCAGATGAAGAGGTTTATTTTTTTGCGAGCTAATATGAATACCGGTGTGGTGAAGCGTTTCGGCTACGAAGATTGTGTGGTGCCCGATAGATAAGTAGGTGTCTGTTGATGTAATCAGTGTCGGTTACGCTGTTTTCTTTCTGTTTTGTTTCATTAATAAAGCTTTAGTCGCGAGAACAGCTTCGTCCTGTCGTGTTTGCTGTCTTCACTCCGTCTCCGTCGTTTGAGCGGTTTTCTTCATATATAACGTTTCCCAACCCGCCCAATTCGCTATCTTACAAAAGACTAGTTCGTATATAGGTCACAACTAACAACGGTGACAGTGTGCAGCTCTGAAGGTTATGGGTGGTTGGCGGGAGAAGAACAATATCACACAAAGACGTGTGGGAAAACGAGCAGGAACGGCTAGAAAACGTACGTGTCCGTGGAAGATAGAAACCTCGCTATCCTACTAACCGTTCAAACCTGTTTTCAAAGGTTAACAAAAGCTTCAAAGAGAATTTCAGGCATCGGATTGTTGCGCACGCACTTTGGGATTTTCGGTATTTACAGTATTGACGTTTAGGTTTTAGGCAGACATTATTAGGTTTTCGAACTTTTCCCTTGTTTCAGGTTCATAAAGTTTTCAGTTAGGCTTTCGTTGCCTAGAGAGTAAACCACAGAAAGGACTCGCCCGCAATTATTAATTCGGGAGCAACATACCCGGTAAGCTTAACAAATATTACAAAAAAAAGGACATTTTCTTTTTTACGAAACTGACGAATTTTAGTGATAATAAGTCGATGTGTGTTACGAACAATCCGACAGCCTCCATACGAAATTAATAAAACAAATCGGGGAGTTTTTCACCGCATACGCTCAATGGCCGGTGAGCTTTCTTCCGCATCCGCTGGTTTCGCGGCGAGTTTTTTTCCGGTGAGCTTTTCTCCGATGAACTTTTCTCCTGTGAGCTTTTCTCCGGTGAGCTTTTCTCTAGGATTCGATCCGCAAATTCGGTCCAGCTAAGTAATAATAATAATAATAATAGAAAGTATCATAGACTTTCCTTTGACTTGAGCTTATGTACTTACCCCTGTTTCCTGGCATCGGGCAGAGATCGGTTGAGAGCTATCTTGTCGCTGACTAGAAGATTAAATTTGTTGATGTGGAAGAGCAGCTTCATCCTAGCGTCCTCGTGCGGCAGTGCCACGACGGGCTGCCCGCGTTCCCCGGCATTCTTCACCGGGGCGAAGTCGTTGGCATTGAGAATCTCTGCGGGAAAAGAAGAATAGTCCGCATCGCTGGAAACCTTCCGCCACAGTCCGATAAGTGGCACGCTCAGGTTGTTAGCAGAATTCTCAACTTTCATCGAGGTGACTGTCATCTGGGTGGTCGACTTTGAGCAGCAGTACGAGTTTGGGTGTGCGACATGTAATTGCAATTTTGTTCAATACGAGCGGCGTTAGAGCATATTTCAATTTTGTTGTATGTCACGAGAGTGTGTAAGAAAGCACCTTCATTGTGAAACCTACCATCCATGAACGAGGGAGCGTGAATCTCACTCCACGATATCAGGGGGGTAATTAGTTGGGGAGCATATAAACCTATAGTCCTCCCCCTCCCCCTCCTCCCCGAGATCGCATGGTCTGATTAGGATGTTCCTACGTTTCTGTGACATCGCTAGGCTCTAGCCTGCCATCTCAGGGGTGTTACTGGAGCACCCTTAGAGTGTTAGCCCTGAAAAAAAGAAAAACGAGAAGCATCTTTGGGACTGTAAAACGTTCTAGCTTGTAAGTGACAGTACCTATTTTTTTTTATATTTAATTTGCAACTATCTTTGAGAAGATGTGTACCCGAAGCAATACAGTATATCCTGATTAGCGACAGGCGGTAAGAGACCTTTTCAAGAAGCCATGAGGCAACATTGGCGGTCGCCATTTCTGGACACGAAACTTGTCCTTGAATCCGAGTCGTCGCCGAACGCTGACTCAGCCCTCGTGTCCAATACGTGCTCAGAATACGAATGAGCAGACAATGGCGGATGCGGATATTTGGCGCAGCAGCATGACGCGCACTTTCGAAAAGGGCAACCACGAGACAGACAAGCTCTACCACCCCTACGGTATGAAGACTGGTTGACCGCTAACAAGAACCACAAAACAAGAAAGCAGATCATGGACTCGCTCAATGACTAGTATCTCAGATCCGCTAGCGAACCTGATACAACACAGCCAATCTCGCGCTCCAGCCCATCCAACATTATCTCTCCCATTCACGCCAGATGAGTATAGTCAAGCTATCTTGGTTCGCCTTTCCTCTTAAAATGCCTTCCACCAAGACACTGACAAGGTGAGGACGGCAAGAAAGTGCTTCAGTTGTACCGCTTCCAGCGCGAGTTTTCTATATTCGACAACGCTTCGGCGTCTCGTGCTCGCGCGCGCAGTCAAAGCATGGCGGAAGGCGTGGAACGAGTGCATGGAGGCAGGGCGTTCCAAAGACACGCCCTGCTGGTCTCATTCTGTCCCTTACTATTGGCGCCGAGATGTGCCGTTACGACAGGGATTTGTCACTCCGTGACGTCACGAGTTGTGATTTTGGCTGCTATCTTATCATCAGTTGCGAGGACCGGTACGATGGTGAGGGTAAAAAGCACGGTGAAAGCTATAAGAACCGTCGCGTTCCTAAACCAACGCCGTCGAAGTTGACGGTCTGCCAAGGCTGCTATGCCAGTCGTTTGACCAATCGTGGAGAGCCGACCAGACAAAAGGCACACGTCCGTACCATCGGTGAGGTTCGGGGTGACCTCCCAGGGCAGGCCCTTGCCCATGTAGTGCCCGACGATGACGTGGATGCCCCGGCGGTTGATGTACTCCTTCTGGTGCGCGTCCTTGCGGATCCAGAGGCGCACGTCTGGGTCGTCGTCGTCCTCGACCGTGGTGTGCAGCGCCAGCACGAGCAGGAGCGCCGACGACGTGACGACCAGCACCACCAGGGCAGGGCACCTCCGGAGTCGGCGCCCCCACGGACGAAGACGCATGCTGAGGAGGCCCGATCCGCGCGTCGACCATCCACGCAATGAGGGGCGTCTTCAGCCTGCTTTCGTTCGTGGCCTTGAGCGAAGACGACAGATCCTGCGCAGAACGACACCCATCTAAGACCCCATGGTAGCGGACTAGCGGTATAGTAACCTCAAAAACAGACCGGCCCTACACTGTCAAAACTAAAACGTGCATTATTTTTTTATGGGGGGTGGGGTGGGAGGGAATTGGGTTAGATTTGTAGATCATGGGTTTTTAGGTACCGAGAGGCGTCCCCGGAGTACACTGATGGGTTCCCGAGCCTCGAAATTTCTTCGACCGTCCTTGCCCCTCAGTAAATTTGTGTCTTTTTTTAGGTCATCCACTGATGCAACACCACGAACCAGACACTTCATATGTGCCTTATGGCTCGCGAGGTCTGTAGACCTCACAACTGCTTTACTGATTACCTTAAAATACGGAGCATCCGCCCATTAAGCGCCTACTCCTGAATTTTATAACATTCGCCAAATAAACAAAGGACGTGTCTTTACATATGTTGTTGACCTAAGGAGTGCCCGTCCCCCAGTTTTACATGATTATCTCCAAATTTTGAGTGGGCGATTGCTCGGGATAATTTCGAGACTGGCAGGATTGAGGGGATGGTTGGCCGAGTGTGTTGACATATAGCAGCTCGGAGCACGTGGAATGAAAGCTCGCGCTGCGAAACTCATGGGACCCTGGGTTAAATCCCAGCCGTTGCCGAGCCGTGTTCTTGGGCGTCATATTCAGCTCTAGATGACAGGAGATATAAAATTTCCAAACCCCAGGCCTGGGGATTGTCAAGGTGTCATTGTGGTATTTTGCCCAGCCGTAAATTTCACACCGAAGCATGCATGTGGTAATAATGTTTCCTACTTATTTTATGTAAGGTTTACAACATGCACACAGACTATTAAAGACTTAAATAGTTATGATATGCAAAAAGAGTTATGAAAGACGTCAAATAAACATTCACAAATTATTTACCAACAAACTACTTTATATAAAATTGCGCAAAATGTATAAAATTGAGCTCCTTTAAATTCAATTTACGAAGATGTAAAAAAGATACCCTTAGGCATTATTTCAGTTGTGTTATTAGCGTAGAAACTGAGCCAATTTCTCTAAATATGGCAAAATTGCACGTCAAACTATAATGAAGCTATTTTCTTTCTTTTATACTCTCCTTGATTGTCTGTAGTGTCTTGAACTAATTTATGATGGCAAAAGATTCAGTAGCATGTGACCTCGAAAATAGAATAACCATAACAAATTCTTCACTCAAATAGATCTATCTAGCTTGTCTTTGTTTTAGGGGTTTTGCCGCACCACGTCGGCTCCAAACAGACATTTTCTGGAACCGACAAAGGCTGTACAGAGGTGCTGCTCAATCTTAGGGTGCAAACGTCGTGCAGTCCCCAGCTTAGCGTTATATTTGTGTTTATTGCGATGCCTCCTTCTTGGTCCAGGTTAATTTGCCAGATATTAATTGGGCCTGCCTAACGCATGGAAGTACTGATGCTGAAAACTGCGCTGAACCAACAGATATTGGTTTTTCTTTCAATTTATATTAGATTGTTGACAGTGACACGAGAGTAGTGGGAGATTGCAGGTCAATCCTAGACCTGATCTTTTTGTCTGCTGGTGCTAGTGCTGACGGCTATGAATGTGAAGTTTTTGAAGGGCTGTCTGGATCACACGGCAGTATTACTTACTTTATTTAATAATATTGCGCCCCCCGGGGAAGAAGATTAACATATTGAACTTCGGTAATGCCGACGATAACGCTATCATGGACGAACTGGCTTTTGAGTACGATGAGTTTGTATCCTAATCAGCAACACCGGAATGTCTGGATCAGTTATAGAACCTTTTCTTTGCTATTGTTACTCAATGCGTTTCAAAATATGTCCCTTAATGGGGTATCCACACGAAGGAGAAATCCGCCACTTTCCTCCGCGGATCGCGCATCACGAGAGACATACGTCATCCCTTTTTGACGCCTCGCGGCACGTTCTCCGTGGCGGAGGCGCGGAGGCTTTGTGCTGACAGCACAAAACCTCCGCAAGTGCACGCGGCGGAGCCGGGGACGGAGTTTCCCGGGATGTTGACGTCACGACATCCGTCCGCGGAGTTCTCCTTCGTGTGGATACCCCATAAGGGGTATCCACACGAAGGAGAAATCCGCTCCTTTCCTCCACGGAGCGCGCATCACGTGAGACATACGTCATCCCTTTTTGACGCCTCGTGGCGCCGTTCTCTCGTTCTCCTCCGTGGCGGAGGCGCGGAGGCTTCGTACTTTTAGCATGAGAACTCCGCAAGTGCGCGCGGCGGAGCCGGGGACGGAGTTTCCCGGGTTGTTGACGTCACGACATCCGTCCGCGGAGTTCTCCTTCGTGTGGATACCCCTTTATAGCCGATTCACACGACGGACCAAATCGCGATTTTCGTCCGCAGACCGTGTACCACGTGACCGGCACGTCACCGATTCCTGCGATCCGCGCCTCCTCCGCGGAGGCGCGGACTGATAAAGTCGAGCGCCTTTTTCACTCGCGGACGTTTGGCGGCAGACTGACTTGGAAAGCATTCAGTCTGGCAACGGTACATGGTTTTCTTGGTATTTTGCTTCTGGTCGTTCAAAACAAAAATGGCGCGTCGTTGCGTTTTGTGCGTTTGTTGGTTCATTTTGTCGTACGATTCTTGGTTCCACGCTTGAGAGAAACGCCAGAAACTTTGTCCGGCTGACGCGACGCAGGTTCCGGTGCTCCTCCGGGTCCGTGTCAACAAGCTCCCGTCGAAACTCGTCTAGCACGCCGCGATAATTATTTCACGTCCAATCAGGATTTCACCGAGCAAGCCCTCTCTTGTGCATGTGGTGTGCAGCGTGCTTGAGTGTTGTGCACGAGCGCGGAGTGTGTGAAGGCATCTCCAAACGCCTCTCCGCGAGCCCAGAAGTTCGTCGCGTCTACGCCGAAGCTTTCTCGGGCAGGATCATGCCTGTGTCACTGTCATGCTTTGGGTTAGTAAAGTTAGTGGCGCTTCGCGCGAAGCCTGTCCCGGTGTTTTGTTCTCGATCTGTACGTAGCAGCGGCGTACGATTCTTTATCGCGGTAGCAACCGTCGATTTTTCTCTTGGACAACGGTGCTACTGTGCGATGTTGGAGTTTCGCGGCACTGTGGGGTGCGAACAGGTTCAGTCCGTCCTCACTGGCGTCTGCTCGTCGTCTCCCTCGTGTGGATGCGCTTGGGAGACGGACGAACCGCGGACATGTCGTCACGTGATCAATCCGTCCGCGGATCAGTCCGTCGTGCGAATCGGCTATTAATAGCCGATTCACACGACGGACTGATCCGCGGACGGATTGATCACGTGACGACATATCCGCGGTTCGTCCGTCTCCCAAGCGCATCCACACGAGGGAAACGACGAGCAGACGCCAGTGAGGACGGACCGAACCTGTACGCACCCCGCAGTGCCGCGAAACTCCAACATCGCACAGTAGCACCGTAATTGTCCAAGAGAGAAATCGACGGTTGCTACCGCGATAAAGAATAGTACGCCGCTGCTACCTACAGATTGAGAACAAAACACCGGGACAGGCTTCGCGCGAAGCGCCACTAACTTTACTAACCCAAAGCATGACAGTGACACAGACATGATCCTGCCCGAGAAAGCTTCGGCGTAGACGCGACGAACTTCTGGGCTCGCTGAGGGGCGTTTGGAGATGCCTTCACACACTCCGCGCTCGGGCACAACACTCAAGCACACCACATCCACAAGAGAGGGCTTGCTCGGTGAAATCCTGATTGGACGAGCAAGAATTATCGCGGCGTGCTAGGCTAGTTTTGACGGCAGCTTCTTGACACGGACACGGAGGAGCACCGGAACCTGCCTCGCGTCAGCCGGACAAAGTTTCTGGAGTTTCTCTCACGCGTGGAACCAAGAATCGTACGACAAAATGAACCAACAAACGCACAAAACGCAACGACGCACCATTTTCGTTTGGAACGCACAGAAGCAAAATACCAAGAAAACCATGTACCGTTGCCAGACTAAATGCTTTCCAAGTCAGTCTGCCGCCAAACGTCCGCGAGTGAAAAAGGCGCTCGACTTTATCAGTCCGCGCCTCCGCGGAGGAGGCGCGGATCGCAGGAATCGGTGACGTGCCGGTCACGTGGTACACGGTCCGCGGACGAAAATCGCGATTTGGTCCGTCGTGTGAATCGGCTATAAGGGGGATCCACACGAAGGAGAAATCCGCCACGTTCCTCCGCGGATCGCGTATCACGTGAGACATACGTCGTCTCTTTTTGACGCCTCGCGGCCTCGCGCCGTCGTTCTCCTCCGTGGCGGAGGCGCGGAGGCCTCGTACTTTTAGCATGAGAGCTCCGCAGGTGCACGCGGCGGAGCCGGGGACGGAGTTTAATGGGTTGTTGACGTCACGACATCCGTCCGCGGAGTTCTCCTTCGTGTGGATACCCCTTTACCGAAAAAAAAAAGCAAACATAACCCATGGGTCACGAGAAGCGTGATACATATGAACAGGAAAGTGAACAGACTGCAGAAATCTTGAAAGTGACCCGGCCTTCTATCCGCCAGAGAAAGCTATCTTTGTTGTAGCAAGAGACTTATATATCAAGCAGTACGCGAATCAAAACAATGGTATTAAAATGTCTGTCTTTTGTCATTCACAAAAACAGCACCACAAAATTTTTGGCAGTTTATAAGTACTTTCAAGGCAAAAAAATGTTCATCCCTTGTTGTTGACGGTTGTGCACATGTAATTGATCACGAATTTAAAATCGCTACCATTTTTAGTGGTCAATTTTATTCTGTTTACAAAAGATAACAACATTGCTCCTAATTACGACGTCCGATCCTGCAGATACCCGGTCTCCAGAACATTACTAACAATGAGGCAGATATCTTGTCATTATTACTAAACTATGACGTAGGAAAAGCAGCGGCCCGGATGACATCCCCAACATGTTCCTTAAACGCTATGCGGTTTGGGTTTCAAAATATTTGTTTGTCGTTTTTAAAACGTCACTGGCCTCTTCGAGATTTCCTGCAGATTGG